AGAAGTGAGAACAATACTGGATTTCAAAAACAAGACAGAAGGAAATCCTCATATTTGCCATATTACATACTGTCATCCTCCCAAACAGATGCTCAGACCACCAGCCCCAGGCCTGCAAAGTTAACCAAACTATATAAGCATTTAGGTGCTTTTCATACCTCAGTTGCTATCAACTCAGCCTGGCCTTCAAACCAGCTGGTGCCTATGGGAGCAGGGGAAGTACTTGATCCTCAGCCTGTGTGTTGGTGAGCTCACTGGAGGTGCTACCTCACTTTTTTCTTCCTGGGGCCTGCATGGCTTGTGGCACATCTCACCAAAAGAACTGAATGACGTCCTCTTCTCTGTGGGCTCCTCCCGTACCCAGCACACTGTGCCAATTCACAGGAGGGACTGTCTGGCTTTTCTCTTCCTGGGCCTCACATGGTTTTCTAAAATCATTTTTGTATAATTCAGCTGTTTGGCTTTTGATTTCTTCTCCACAGATCAGCTTTGGGGAGTTGAGTTTTTGGAGGCATTTTATTGCCTTCTGTTTTCATGTTTCATGTATGTGTATGTGTGAGGGGGAGTGTACATGTGTCTGTTGTGCTGAGGGCTGAGGGTTGATTAAGTGGAAAGACTTTATTGCTAGGATGGAGAGCTCTTCAGTCAGTGTCTGCTTTACAGTGATGCACTCTGGGCATGGCTAGCTATAGGCCTTTGCCTCTGTCCCACGATCTGACCACCGCTATTAATTTTGGGAGTGTACAGTGTAATTGGCCCAGCATCCAGTTCTCCAGAGATGGATCTCGGTATTGTTGATGATATAAAGACAAAGCAGATATTGGCATAGAGTAAAACCTAATTAATAGCAATAACTATGTAACCATTAGCAAAAGCAAAGAAATTAGGAAAGACAAACTGGAAACTGACGTAGTACAGGGACCAATAAAAGCTACCACGGGCACCATACTTAACAACAGCAGAAGAGATTTGCAATAACATAGACACAAAGAGAAACCAAATCTTGACATAAAGTAAGTATCTACAAAATATCACAGCTATACTACTATTAACACTAGAAAAGAATTCAGTAATATTCTAGTCAACTAAATATCTAAAATTTACTAAAGCTTAACAGGGTTAGTGTAGAAGTTGAGGGCCTGGGGAAAGAAAATGAAAAAAGTAAAATCTGAAAAATAAAGAAAAAAGTGAGATAAAGGATCAGAAAAGAACAGAAGAAAGAAAAAGAAAAAAAATCGCTCCCCAAGGAAAAAGAAAAAAACAAGTCAGAAACATTCCTCGGTGAGTTTGAACAAGCAGTTTCTTCCTAGAGCATGTGGTCCTGAAATCCACAGGGAAGGAGAATGAGTCACCACTAAGTCAGGTTTTTTCCACACACCTTTCCGGGGTGAACGCCGAGTCTGTCCAGCCTTTCCTGCTGCACGTGATCAGTCAATGCTGTCTCCCCTAGCGCTGTGTTCAGTTAGCCACTTCCATTTTGTTCCTTCTGTGTGCCCCTAAATCACCGCTTTCTCAGTATAACTTTGCAGTCTGTGGGTTTGTAAGGTGTCCCCCAAACTCCAGAGGGCCCTGTGTCCATACCCCCCTGCTGTGTAAACTGTCAAAGATGAGGCATCTCCCTGAAAAAACCTGTATATGGGGAAGCAAGGCAACCATGAGCTCTGTGCCGAATACATGCAGCCCAGCAAGAGGGTCAAGCAGCCCTCGGATTTAATGCCAGCACTTTCAGAAGTGGTCCCCCCTAAAAACCGCACATGAGCAGCCCGGCTTCTTGCTAGAGTTGGGACCCTTGTGTCCTTCCTGCCTGGAGTCTGAGCTTCTCAGGGGATGGTCCAAGTCTATCCTGCACCTTCTCTATGACTATTTCTTGTGGCCATCTCACATCCAGTCACTATGGTAGAATGATCCCAGAAAACCTAAAGTGTAGCTGTTCTGTGACTTCTGATTCCTGGGGAAGTTCAGTCTTAAACCATTAACCCTTCCCCAAATTGTTCCTAATTTACCATGGTTATGGTTTGTGTGTGTCTGGTGTCCTCCCAGAACCCCGTGCAGTCATGATGGGTGGGGATGGGGCTTTTTGGAGGTGGCTGAATCCAGTGTTTGCGATTGGTTCACTGTCTAGTGCTGGGGTTGGGGGTGTGAATGCTGCACTTGCACTGGACTGGTAGCCTGCACACATAACCTAAGGAAGAAAAAGAGGCTAGCTCCTCCCTTTTGTCGCTTTTGCTTCTGCTATCTTCTGCCACCACGAGCTATTGCCATTCTGCCATGTGCCTCCCTGCCCCGACATGCAGAAAAAGTCACTTTTTCGGAGTACTGTAAAGCCTATTCTGGTTTTTCAGTTTACAATACCCATATGCTCTTCTTTAGGCAGATGCTTTTTTTTTTGTATCCGGACTCAAACTCAGGACCTTGTGCTTTTCAGACAGCTGCTGTGCCACTGAGCTATATCCCCAGCCCTCCATGTCCTTGTCTCGGGGCCAGCAATGCCAGCCTGGTTCATTGTTTCTCTCTGGGCCTGCTGACCTTCTCCAGCCTTACCCTGGTTGTGGAAACAGGTCTCCCTCCAATTGAAAGCTTCTCCTCAGCATTTTTTTTTTCTTAAATTTGAAACAGTCTTGCTAAGTGGCCCAGGATACCTTGAATTTTTGATGCCCCTGTATCCACTTCCAGAGTAGCTAGGATAATAGTGATGTGCAGTTACATCCACTAGAAATGCATTTTAAAGTAGAAATTTTTTTTGTCTAGGAAAACTAGTTTGTATTACACTGTTTCATGAATTACCAAGTCACTGCATAAGTACTTAAAACTAGCGTATATTTAATATTTCTTTTTCCATTCTCTTTGTTGTTAGGATGACAAAAACGAATAGTAACCATAAAGACCAGGTGGATGTGGTGGCGCATGGGAGGTGGAGGCAGGATTATCACAAGTTTGAGGCCTGCCTGGACTACACAGTGAGTTCAAGTCCAGCCTACATTACCAAGGAAGACAAGAAACAACCACCACACACACAAACAACCCAATATAGACAACAGTATCCATGTCTTAGAACCTAAAAAGTTATTATACATTTCCAGTACAGTAATTTACCTTTCCTCTTCTGCAGGATCATTCTGATTCTCTAAGGGATTGCTTAGTAAAACAGAAAATCACTAATATTGATCTGTTTAATAAATCCTAAGAGCCTACTATGCACTAGGTTCTTCTGTTTCTAAGTTAGTAAGCACTGGAAGCTGGGAGTGGTAGCACACACTATCACTCAGAAGGCTGAAACAGGAGGGCTGCTGAGGTGGTGGCTAGTCTGGGCAACATATGAGTTCAAGTCCGGCCTAAAATACAGATAGACTGTCTTAAAAAAAATAAAAGTGCAGGAAAGAACAGAAATGGAAATTTTATTTTTCCTGAAAAATATTTGAGGCAGGGAGAACCAAAATTTTGCTTCACTGGAGAAATCCTTTTCCAAGATCACAGACAAAGCTTAGGTCAATGATTTGGCTGCAGCGACCACTAAGCATATGATAAAACTCACGATCCAGGAATATAATGTACAAGAAATGTTTGTGTATGGTACACTATTTTCATTCCTAACCATGTACAGAACCTGGTCATTTTAACTGAGTCTCATGGGCTCAGTGATTCATGAGAGCTGGGAAACAATCTTGGCTTCCCAATAACCTGTACCAGACTGGCAAAAGCTGTAAGATATGCCACGGTACAGATGAAATGCAACACTACTGGCTCATTTTATGCAACTATGAAAGTAGGGGGAAAATCAAGTCCTACTCTGGTGTATTAGGGTAACTGAGATGAGCTGTGTGGGAGTTTTCAAATCTCCCCCATAACTCTTATGGTCTGGCAAATGGATGGATGAAGGAGGTGACACCAGGAGCCTTCTGACACAGTGACACACAACAGAACTTCTGCCTTGAGCCCTTGCTTCACCGATTACTTCAATTAGTTCACCGATTACTTCAAGGACAATAAGCAGTGACGATGCAGAGTCTCACTGCAAGTCTTTTTTACTGTCTCACAAACACATGAAGCAATATCCATTAGCGAACAAACCACCCAGGAATAGGATTTATGGTTTAAAAAAATTTGTAAGACAAAGTTTGCAATTAAAATTATTTATTCAAAAATACTTTCTATCAATTTTGATTCTATATCAAATCAAATTAGTGAGTGATGTTACAAAACAATAGCCGATCAGACTTGTTCATAGAGGACACAATGACCCCATTACTTCATTAATACAAGCTACTGAGCCGTGACACACAAATCCAATACATTCACCACTTCTTGCAAGGTTCATAATTGATATATGGTACTTTATATCAAAATATTTTATAATATATTTCACTTCAAGATTCAGCTAATGTAAAAATGATACTGGCTTGTAAAAGAATCTAAGCAATGATCTGGAGTTTCCTTTCTTGCAAAATTCAAGTACATGATTATCTCAAGTTTCTTTACTTTCTACAAAGTCGTTAAAAACCACCTGAGGTTGCATTTCATTTTTGCTCTTTGTTTCCAGTGACTACAGAGACCATGGAGACATAGTAGGGAGATCATTAGAGATACCACATAGATCCCAATGCTTAAACAAGAGCTTCTGACAGGTTTTAAAGTTTTTATAAAACTTCAAATTAATTTTCATAAGACATCCATTAAAAATGGCTTTTTGAAACATAATACTCAAAGGAAACCCTTTAGCATCAAGAGCATCAGATACTTCAGGAAGAACGGGTCTCCCCTCATTTTATTCTTTTCTGGCTGTGCCGGGGATCTAATTCAGGGCCTTGTAAATGCTAGGCAAGTGCCCTACCACTGAGCTACACCCCCCTGCTCCAGTCTCTCTTTTGTTGGTTCAAGAAGTGAGTCTTTTCTCAACAGTTTCTTGATAAGCAACAAATCTTCTTAAATTCATCTTTATGTTGTTGAGAACACACAGCTGATCTGGACTGTATTTACCTCTCCCTTCCTTTCGAATCTGTCAAAAAAAAATTGTTCATTTAAATAAAATATTTGCCAAGGGAAGGTGGCAAATCTTACAGTTTGGGAGGCAGAGGATGGAAGATTTGAAGTTTGAATCCTGTCTAGATAAGTTAGAGAGATGCTGTCTCAAAAAAAATAAATAAATAAAATAAAGGTTTTTTTTGAAGGATTAGGGATGTAGCTCAGTGTAAAGCCCCTGGGTTCAATCCCTGAGGAAGAAAAAGAGAGAGAAAGAGAGAGACAGAGACAGAGACAGAGACAGAGACAGAGACAGAGACAGACAGACAGACAGACAGAGACAGAGACACAGAGAGAGAGAAAGACAAGAAAAAAGAAGGGATAGAGGAAAAGAAAAGAAAAAAAGGAAAGAGGGAAGAAAAAACAAGTCTTTCACTTGGGGTACACTGTACCACTTTCTAAACAAGACCACTGCAAGAATTTGTTAAAACCATTTGACTTCCATGGTAAATAGAATCCTGTACATGAAGAATGAAGATAAATCTATTTTTCTGAAGATAAATTTAGAACGTATACTTTTAAAATGAGAATTACGAAAGCAACTGAGCTATAGACTTTAAAACAATGAATTTAGCTTCTTTTTTTCCTTCTCACTTGGGTTCCTTTTTCCTCCTCCCTGTTCCTGCTGCGATCCCATCATCTTCAATAAATGCGGCTACTTACTACAAAAAAACCAACAACCAAAAAAAGCAGTGAATCTGACTTCAGTGAACTATAACTCACTTTCAGTCTACAGCAGCGATTCTCTGGTATGGGAAGGCACTTTGGGAGAAAGTGCTTTACTATGATTCTTTGGTAGCATTAGTGGTATGGTATTTAAAAGCAACTCAAAGCTAAATACGTACTGAACACATTTAATGCAACTGTAGCTCCATTTTACACAAAAGAGTTTCATGTAAAAAACTGTAGACCAATGGGTAGAATGGCTGCTCAGCATACTTGATCTTGAGCACAACACAAAAACAAAAACAAACAAACAAACAAAATCTAACTAAAAAACTCCCCCAAACTATAGACTAGCCTTCTGGCTAACAAAGAAACTTCATTAGGACCAGATACTTTTAAGAAAAGAAAAACAGGGGCTGGGGATTTAGCTCAGCAGCATAAATGCCTGCCTTGCAAGCAGACAGTCGTGAGTTCGATCCCTGGTACCGGTAAAAACGAAAAAGACAAAAAAAAAAAAAAAAAAAAAAGAAAAGAAGAGAAAAACAATGAAATATTATTTCCACAGCAATGCATATCACATAGGAAAATGAATGTGAACAACAGACTTCAGAAGTCGGGGTCCTTTTCCTAGTTCCCAGTTCATAGCTCCTTTCTAAGCACTTGCTTCTATGGAGTCTGTTGTTCTGTCTGCAGTGCTGGGGATCAAGCTAGGGCCTCCTGCATGCTACCCATGTACCCTGCCTCTGAGCTGCAGTCCTAGGGCTTCTGCAGAGTTCTGATGACTCTACATCTGTTCACCTCGCAGCTATAGAGACGAGTAAAAGGGGACACTTTCTCCTTATTATCTCACAGGCTCTTTTCCAGAAGTCCAAAGGCCTATAACTTTTATTATTTTCTTTTAAAGACAGGCTCTTGCCAGGCATGATGGCACGTGTCTGTAATCCCAGCACTCGGAGGTTGAGGCAGGAGGATCTCTGGAAGGTCAAGCCACCCTGGGCTACACAGTGAGTTCAAGGCCAGCCTGAACTACACAGTGAGATTCTGTCTCAAAAAAACCAAAATAAATAAACAAATACATACATATATACATTTAAAAAAAAAGACAGGGTCTCAATTATGTAGTCCAGGCTGGACTTGAACTCACCATGTAGCAGACCGATTCTTCTGCCTCAACTCCCTGAATACTAGGATCACCTACCAGCTTGGTTCCTGGAGTTCTAACAGTATGGACACCTACTAGGTACTGCTATGAAAATATCTCTAGGATACAGTATGAAGCTAAAACATGAAGTCCAGGACTGCTACTTTATGAACAATAAAGAAGAAAATACAGGTACATTTGTCTCTGCTTAAGAAACACCACTAAACTTGGTTACCTGTGAGGCAAAGAATAAGGCAGAAAATGCCTAACTGTGTACAAAACAAAAACGTAAGACTTGAAAAAACCGTTAAAAGCAAACTGTTCCCTTTATTTTTTTCATAATTAAGTCACTTAGTGATCAAAGTTAATGCAGTAAATGGTAGCCACTAGTACAAAGTTTTAAAATGTAACATGCCAAAACATGAGAATGTGGAAAATAAACTACTGATGTTTTTAAAACAGCACTGACTTGAGAGTGTAACAGTGACACTGAGACTGTGTTGGGCCCTTGTTGCTACTTTTCTTTCTTTCTCAAAAACTATTTTACATCTTAAAATTTTTCCAGGAAAGCCACACAGTGGCAGATTGGTAGCCCCAGCTACTTGTGACAGGAGGATCACTGGAGACCCGGAGTTTGAGACCAGCCTGGGCAATACAGTGAGTTCTCTCCCAAAAACGAGTATTTGCCTAGTATGTGTGATGCCATGGGTTTAATCCCCTCCATCAAAAATGAAATTTACAGGTAAAGCCCTTGGCTACCATGCTTGGGATCCTGGATTTGATCTCCAGCCCTGAAAATTAAAAAACAAACAAACAAAAAAACCTAAAGTATGAAAAGATCGCAAAATTACATCATTTTAAGGGGTTGGGGATATATTTTAGTGGTAGAATACTTGCGTTGCATGTGTCAGGGCTTGGGTTTAATTCCCAGCACACAGAAATACTACATTTTAAAACTGGAATTTACATAATAGGATTTAGAATTCCTAAAGGACTGGAAATACAGCTCAAGGGTAGAGTGTTGGGGACCAGACTATGTGATAGATTATGGGAGCCTGACTAAGGGACTTAAGCCCCTGCAGTCCCAAGGCTGGGGAGACCTTGCTTCAGGAACAGAGAAGTACAAGGAGGCCACGTGCCCCCTGGCAATGGCCCCAGTACTAGCAACCCAGCATTCTTGAGGCAAGATAGCAACAGTTGTCAAAATATAAGTATTTGAGGTTAAAGAAAATCTGGTTCCTCATTAACTTAATCCTTATCCACCTATTTTTTACAATTACGTTTCATAAAACTTGTGCTTCCCCTCCCGCTGTGCTTCTTGGCCAATTAAAGCAAGCCAACTGTGGAGGGAGCTGAGCCAGTCTGCTACAGGCAAACTCACCTCAGTCCTCCTTGGACTCTGAGATTTGTGTCTTTATTCCCAGTTGCTCCCGCCCCCCACAGGTATCTGAGGGTTTGATCAGCCCTCAGTGGGATGCTGTGTGTGCTAGTGTGAGTGAGACCCTGGGTTCAATCCCCAGCACTAAAATTCCTGGATGTTCTCCTATGCACTCCTCCAAAATTTCTGATTGACTGTCTGATGCTTGACATCACTGAGAGCTGTATCTAAGACCCTGCACATCCAAAGCAGGTACCTATCACTGAACTACATCCCCAGCCCTTGAAATTATTTTTTTGACTCAAAGTTAGCTTCGATGCTTTCAAATAAAAAATAAGATGCTAATGACAGCAATAACCACAGTCACCAATATAAACATCTGGAGTTTGCCTTTTTTCGCCCAAAAGGAAGTATCTCAAACAATAAAACCAACATGTAATGTACTACATGATACGAATTTAAAATGTACATGGAAGTGTTTTGTAAGCTACAGACAACAGCATTTATATGTGTTAAGCACTGTTAGTACTGCTAAACTGTTAAAAATAAGGAGGTGGTCAGATGCTACTTAGGTTCCAATGACAGTGATTCCACAGTTTCTCTGGGTAGCTATGACTCAGTCAACAAGCGTTCTACAAAGTATAGGCAAGTGCTATATCAATCACTGAGAATTAAAGGAATTTGTCAGGCACCTGCCTCCCAATTGCATGGTGGTAATTCTATATACTCTTCTTCCCAGAGAATGTCGAGACTCATGAATTTATAAATAAAACATTACAAACCTTCATTTTGAAGACAGGCTGGAATTCTTTCAAAGCAGATAACAATTTAATTTGAATAGAGGCTTTTTCAGCTTCTTTACCATCTGCAAAAACATCAAAGAGGGCATCCAAAGCCTCTCCTGCTACTACAAGGCAAGGGTCTTTGGTGGCGACCTCGAGCAGGAAGCACCCGATGGTCTGCAAACAGCAAACACATCACAACATGAGTGAGCTCAATTTCCCAAATGACAGTTAACTTCACAAGTGACAATAATGCATGCAAACTATTTTGTGTAAAAATGCCAGGGAAAAATGAAAACTTTTAAAGATCTAAGATTTGACAAATACTTATATCAAGGATAGCATAAGCAATATAATTGAACATGACACAGTTTATTTCCCTAAATAAATTAAAATCCACAAGTGATATATGAAAAGTTGATTTGGGAAATCATTAAGTTTTCCCCCTTTATCTCCCTCAAAAAGGCTTCTCTATGGTATTAGAGTGCACAGAAATCTTAACCTTTATGAAAACCCCTAAGATAATAAAAAATAACCCAACACTTAAGCTCATCTTGCTTTACCGTATTAGTTGATTTTTAACATCCACGCTTCCTTTTTTCCTGCATAAATAGCTAGCTAATTTTTTCCCTGCACAATTAGCTAGCTAATGAGCAGACCATTCCCAATCTGCAAAGAGTTGCTCCATAGTCACTGTATTTTAGCTTGGCTTTTCTGAATCACCTTTATGTCTCAGCAATATGCATGGTGATATAAGAGGTCTGGGAAGGAACTGCTCAGAACATTTGGTTTGTAGGTTAACAGGGCAACTTTTGGAGAACCAGGCAAACTCTCTGGGCCTCAAAGAGGTCTACGTCCTCTCACAGAAAGTGTTCGAAAATTAATATCCTAAAACATATTATGAAGTGCACACTTCATCTACGAAGTAGTCTTTTTTTTTGATACCAAGAATCAAACTCACAACCTCGCACTTGCCAGGCAGGTGCTATGCCACTGAGCTATATCCCCAGCCCTAAAGCAGTCTTATTCATAAGGATGCATCTAAATGAAGTCCAGTCTTTGTATCAAACTTCCAGTTTTCAGAAAATACAGAGGATAAAGGAATAAGCTGGATACTAGGAGGATGCAATCAAACAGATCCAGAAGGCTGGAAAGCCCTCGAGGATGACTGACCCAGAGGAAAAGATCTGCTAGGGAGAACTGTTCTAGACCCAGACAGATGTAGCATATCCCAAACTCAACTAGTTCAATACACTATCTATAAGTAGACATCTTTGAGATAACTGGAAAATTACAAACACAGATGAGTACCAGACATATTAAGAAATGAATTTAAGAAAAAAAGAAATGATTGTTAATCGGGCAAGGCATGATAATGGCAGTTAACTAATAAACTGTCCTTATTCTTTAAGAGATACCAACTAGGGCTGGTGATTTAGCTCAGGGCATAAGCACCTGCCTTGCAAGTATGCAGTCATGAGTTCAATTGCTGGTACAAAAAAAAAGAGAGAGACAGAGATACCAATTAAATTAACTGGGGTAAAACATCATGAAGTGTTTACTGTACTTCAACATGCCAGCAAAGAATCTATTTTCCACTAAAGTAAAAAATAAATAAATAAACAAAGCAGACCCCGACAACCACAGTCTTAAGGGAAAGGGAGTAATCACACACACACTTGTTCATTTGTGTATGTGTGCACTTATATGCCATGTAGCCATACTTTCACATATACATATATTTATCAAAAATCCCTGGGAAGAACAGAAGGAACTGTAACAGTGCTGCCACTCCAGAGGCAAAGGAGGGAACTGGAAGGTCGGGAGCACAGGTAACTCTCTTCACTAGATACTTGTACTTTTCAAAATGTTTTGCCATGTGCAGGTATCAAAACAATTCTTAAAACATTAGTCATCACTATAAAGTACTTAGAAGGATAAGAGAAACACTACAGTAATCGGTTTATTACCAATTAATCAGTAATCAATGCATCAAGAATTATTAGCACAATAAAAGGCAATTTTACTACCACTGACCTTGGAGTTATAGGAATGCTATCCCTGTGGCAGTGCAGTTCCTGAGCAGCTGTACTAAGATAAAGTGCTCACAGCAAATATGTTGCTTGCAATTTATGGAGGAGCGGTATTAGAATTTCCCGAGTGGGATTTCTCAGACCACGCTTTATCTGGTATATCAGGAAAACTGGGTGGATTGCTCATCAGCAGGAGAAAATAACATGCAAACATTTTATAAAAGAGCAAAGCCAAAAGGCATCTTTAAAAATTCTGCTTTTGGCCTTACCCTGAAAATCTCTTGAAAAAGTATCTTTGGAGTAAAGTTAAATGGAAAAATGAGGCTTGGCTTTTCAAGGATTTTTTTTTTTTGGAGACAGGGTCTCTTGATGTACTTCAGGCTGGTCTGGAACTCATTCTGTAGCCCACACTGGCTTTGAATTGTGGTAATCCTCCTGCCTCAGCCTGCTGAGAGTTGGGATGCACTACTACACTCTGCTTCAAGGATTTATCTTATACATACAGTTATATCAGGCCAATGGGTACTCTAATAATATAAGTTAATAAGCAACTACTTGGTATATATGATCAGAATCCTACACCATCAGTTATTATTCTCTCACTTCTTGTATCTATTTATTTTTGGTTTTTTGAGACAGGGCCTTACTATGTAATTCAGGCTAGCCTTGAACTCATGGCAATCCTGCCTCAACCTCTAAGTGCTGGGATTATAGGTGTACAGCACCATGATCCGGTCATTACTTTGTTTTGCTTGTTTGTGTTGAGACAGGGTCTCCTCATGCAGTTCAGGTTGGCCTTGAACAGACAGCAATCCTCTCACTTCAGCCTCCTGCACGCTGGGATTACAAGTACGTACCACCATGCCCAATGACCTGACCCATTCCTAATTTATGTTTTAGGCTAGAAAAGAAATTGTTCTACCTTAAGAGTTTCAAGTGTCCCATCTTCTTTGGCTAGGACACTGCCAGTGATTCCTAAAATACTGACAACATTCACTCTAACTCCGACGTTACTGCTATGAATGCCTGCTTTGCATAATGACATCAGCTGATCAGGTGTCATGCACTGTTGAAAGAAGAGAAGACAGATTTTACAGTGTTAAACTCAACTAATTCCAATAGTAAATAAAAACAGGAGAATCTCTCCTACAGGTTGCACGGTGCTAAGAGCAGCATACACACCTGGCAGAGAAGTTATCACCATTCTAATTGCGCCCAAATACAGTTGGCAACACAGTCCCGCTTGTGTCACTGTCATTAACAAACCTATAAAAGGCACTTCAGGTCCTGTTAGTTTCATCTGAAGACTTGTTCCAGATGTACGAGGACTAAAGGGACTTTGATTTCTTTCTAATATTGAACATAAAAGATTTTAAAAGTGTAAGTAGCTTTAATAAAAACTGACTGAGTCTAGACAAAGTAAGAACTTGCTTTGAGATGTTTTATCATAAATAATTTTTTTTTTATCAGAACCGGGAATCAAACTCATGACTGCGCACTTGCAAGGCAGGTACTTATGCCACTGAGCTAAATCCGCAGCCCTTATCATAAATTATTTAAGACTACAAAAGCCATTACATTATATAGTACTTCAACCATACAGTGACAAGGTTCAGTTTAAGTTAATTTGAGCACATATATGAGCATAAGAATCATGAAAGAATGTAAATGTCCAATTGCCAGGTTATCTTCTATAGTGTGGTGATAAAGAGCTTCCATCTGGAGCCAAACACCTGGGTTCAGACCCGAGCTCCGTTCCTTACACCTGGCTATCCAACAAAAGTTACTGTATTTCAAGACCGGCGTGGTGGCTCATGCCTGTAATCCCAGCACTCAGGAGGCTGAGGCAGGAGGATCGTTGTGAGTTCAAGACCAGCCTAGGCTACAAAGTGAGCTCAAGGCCAGCCTGAACTGCAAAAAGAGACCCTGTCTCAAAAAAAAGTTACTGGATTTCATCATCATGGTGTCCATTTTTCCAACAAGTAAAATGGACATGACAAAAGTATTCCTCACAGAGTTGCTACAAGGATTAAATGATACACATACAACACTTAAGTATTAATGTTATTATTTGCAAGAATACCGAATAACTATAAATCCTCAAATGCATTTCTCCATCAGTTACATTGCTCTGCCTATTCTAAAGGTAATGGTAACAGGTTTTTCAGAAAATACTGTAAAGACAAAAATTGCACAAACTGAAGGATTCTGCACAGTACAGACAGGCTGCTGCAAACCACACAGGTGTGGCTGTATAATCACCAGAACAACTCAAAGAAGCTACAAAACAGATGAACCAACAAAGTGAAAAACCAGACAGGGAAGCCAGACAGCTGGACACCAGTACTGGTGCCATCACTCAGCAAATCAAGCCACTGGTTTCCTCTCCAACAGAAGCATGGGAGAGGGGCTGAGGATTTAGCTCAGCGGCATAAGCGTCTGCCTTGCAAGCAGGCAGTCATGAGTTCGATCCCCGGTACCGGTAAAAAGGAAACAGCCAAAAAAAAAAAAAAAAAAAGCATGGGAAAGCCAGGGCTCTGGCTCTGGCACTCAATGCTCATACCTATTATAGAGCTAATCAGAGAATCCAGCACCTAAATACATATGTATAAAGTGGGGATGGAGTGGGGTGGCGCACATCTGTAACCTGAGCACTCTGGGGCTGAGCCATAAGGAACACAAGTTTGAACCCAGCCTGGATAATGGTATAGTGAGATCCTCTCTTGAAGGGGCAGGAATGAGATTATAGCTCAGATCAAAGGCCCTGGGTTTAATCCTCAGTACCACAAACACCACCACCACCACATTATATAAAACATATGAAGATTACCATAAAACACATTATATATCTAGGAATGATTACCATAAAATAAATGTAAGCGTTGAGTAACTTCTCAAATCATCAGACTCAGTCAGTAAACTGCTACCTGTACATCATAGAAAAGCAGTTAAACACTTTATATTCCTATAGGCCTCCATAGTAAGGTTTTCTGATCCTCCCAACATCCATTAATCATTACTGAATTATCACCATTTCCATTTTCAAATATGCAAAGAAGTAATGAAGGATACATATCAACAGCATAGTAAAACTATCATTCCCATTAAACTTGGGGATAAGACAAGGTTTGGGAAGCAGCACTCCAGTGACCTGGCCATGGATGGACCAAAAAAAAGCAGAAAGACCAGGAGGCCAGAGCTGCATGGCCAGGCAACTGGGAGACCCACCTAAGCGCAGACTGAAGAATCTAGGATTAGACAAGCAGTGTCACCACAGGCATCTCCAAGGAGAGAAGAATGTCCGCAGGGGACAGAAGATGATGAAAACCAAAAGAAGAGGGTGGTGTAGGCCAGTAACACTAATGAGATATATTAATAACTAGAGGACAACTTTAGGAAGGAGGGAGAATGGTTTAGAACAGTGATTTTGCGACCTGAGAGTGCAAGGGGAAATAGGGTAAGACAGACTGAGCCCTGGTGTGCAGAGTTTCTGCACTCACCTCGGGTGAGGGCGGAGCTCAGCCTTGACCTACTTTGTGCAAAGCCTGGGTTTTTAATCCACATAAAACAAACAAAAAAGCAGTAACCTCATAGAAAAATGGGCAAGAGACAGTAGTCACAGGAAAAGAAATGTAAAGGCCCTAAAGCACATGAAAAGATATCCCAAGTTCCTCATTCTAATAAAACATGCAAAATAAAATATGATTTTTATTTACCTAACTGGCAAAACCCTACAGTTTGACAACACACCTGCTCGTGAGGTTATGGCAAAAAAGGTTCTTCCAAACATTGTTGGTGTGGATGCAAAATGGCTGAATCTCTAAAGGAGGGACTACAGCAATACCTAACAGCTACCAGTCCGTCTCATCTCTGACCCAGCAAGCCCACTTCCAGGAATCTGTCCCAGACATGACGGCAAAAACATAATACAACTCATAAAAAGACTCTTCACTGCCCTTCCACTTGGAATAGTAAAAGACTTGCAATAACTCAAATGTCTATCAGGAGGCAAGAGAGACTCAATAAATATGGAAAGTCTATACAGTGCAGTAGTCTGAAGCTGTAAAAAAAAGAAACGAAAAAAATCTGAACTGAGTGTGGCAGCACAAGCCTGCAGTCTCAGTATGCAGGAAACTGAGGCAAAAGGGTCGTGAGTTCAAAGCCAGCCTGGACTATAGACAAGACTGCCTCAAAGTCAACAAACAAAGCCAACATCTTTATATACTACAATGATCCAACATTAAAAAGAATAGACAGGTACAGAAGCACTACTTTTAAGAGGTAAATACAAATGTATAGTCTTTTCAATAAGCAAAAAAACTTTTTACCTAGCTTTCAAAAAGGAATAACAAAACCACAAATCAAAAACTAAAAGGGCAGAGTATGTGTGTCACATGCACAAGGTCCTGGGTTCAATTCTCAGGAGTACAAACACACACATGTACACATACAAAATAAACTAAAGTCAGGCACAATGCTTACACCTGTAATCTCAGCTACTCAGAAGGCTAAGGCAGAGAGATCACAAGTTCTAAATCAGCCAGGGCAACTTAGTGAGACCTTGTCTCAAAATTTAAATGCTGGATGATGCTGGGGATATAGCTCAGTGGTAGAGTGCATGTAAGCGCAAGGCCCTGGGTTCAACAGCCAGGGCCACCAAACAAACTAAACCCCACTAAATTAAAAGGGAAGATTATGAAATAATGAAAATAGGAGCCAAACCAAAAAGCTAGACTGCTTATTTTCTCTTAGGTTGAATTTAGGGCTTCACATATGCTAGGTACATCTTCTCCCACTGGGCCACGCTCCCAGACCACATCTCATATTTGTTGGCCTCATCTAGAGATTGCTAGGGCATCTATCCATTTTATTAGAAGAATCTTTTATTATATAAATTATATTTCACAGTACTAAGTAACTGATGAGGTAGAAAATTCTTATGTATAGAATTCCAGCTAATAACTGTTAAAAGGAATGACAAAATTATAATATTTCTACTTTGCAGCCCCTAATGAAACAATGGATCGACTATAATCAGCTGCTAAAACCAAGTGAACCCACTAATTAATCTCAAAATTGCTTTTATGATATGATTTGAGATATAAAAATAGGAAAAAATATATAGCAATATGAACTTTTATTGCCAAACTCTGAAACTTGAATCAAATTAAGGTTCTAGGCCTAGGTCTGAGTTTACAAGAAATATAGAAGCAGAGGGCCCTAGCACTAAGTGACAGTCTCCTCAATGAATAAATATAATGAGGAGAGAGGAGTAGACAAAGGAATATAATCAACTGAGAAATTTAAGAGGCTGTGGCTATACTAAACTGCACTTTATTTGAAGGAACCATACGCCATACAAATCAAATCTCAATAGTTATTAAAGAAGTGACAAAAATATCAACCAAGAGCAGTGTATGGATCTTTAGATCCTGATTTGAACAAACCATGTGTAAAAAGTCATTTCTGCCAGGCATGACAACACATGTCTGTATCCCCACCTACTTGGGAAACTGAGGCAGGAGGCTCAAAAGTTCAAGGCAGCCTGGGCAACTAGTAAAGCCTTATTTCAAAATAAAATTTTAAAGAGGGATAGGAATGTAGAGTAGTGGTACAGTACTAGCCTAGCATGTGAGGCCCTAGGTTCAATCTCTAGCACCAGAAAAAAAAAAAAAAAAGATATTTTTTTAAGGTATTCTAGGAAAACTGAGTTCAGACCATGTTTCAAATGTTACGAGATACATTTGGGTTTGTTTTTTTTTTTTTAATAATTTTGTCAGATACACCTAATGAAGTACACAATAAAACATGTGGTGTGAAATGGTACAATTTGTTTTAAAATATTCCAGGAAACAAAAATAAAACTGCAGGAAGAGGAATAAAACAAGACACACTAATAACCAGTTGAGACTCAGGGACAGTACACATGGGTCCAAAGAATATTTTCTGTTCTCAAGAAAGCTTGAAAATTTCCTTACTAAAAAGTAATGAGTAAGAATGACATGGCACCTGTCAGACACAAGCGGATGGATCTCTGTGGAAGGTATGTTTGAAGTTTTCTGTCATAAAATATTTTTAAAAGGTCAACAACATGCAGAGTATTTACAATATACATGTATTAAACAAGAAGTTGCATTGGTAAACATCATGAAAACGGATCACTCAACTCATTGTTTTATATCACTTTAGTGTTATATAAGTTTACAGCAATTTAATGATTAAATGTTGAGTTTACTGTTTAAAAAAGCTGTATTGATAGGAAAGTACCTGCATGTGTTGCTGAGGGTAGGAAGGAGGGAGAAATTCATGTTTTATTTCAAGTGTATCTGCTCTTCTTTGCTTTGAAAGATCAGATGTTAGTCTTGTAGCAGAAAAGTACTTTTTAAACATATGTAATACATTTTGTCTCCATAATATATAAAACATTTTAAAAAATCTTACCTGAGGAATGTTCTTAGAGGCCATTATTTGCAAAAGAGCCCTCAAGGCACTACTTATTGCTTCGAGAAAGTCAGCATTTTTGGCAAAATCTGAAACACAAAAGTTACCATAATATACAATGATGAAGTTTTTTCTTTCTCCAAGACAAATTACTTTGTTAAAACAAATAGATCAAAGCATGTTAAGTATTAACAGAGGCTACCATTCGTAAATATATTTACTTTATTTAAACCAAACGCTTAGGTAACAGCCCCTGGGACACTGCACGAGTCTGGAGGTGAAACAAGCAAGGTAAAGCAGCGAGCTACAGACGGGTCTTACCAGAGTGCTGGGCAGTGGGCTTCACTTGGCTCACATTTTGGGTTGTAGCAAACCTGCACTGGCTACTGCAGATGAATTCAGTCTTTCACACATCCCCAGTGCCAGACAGACTGCGGGGGAGTCAGCCCGCAAACCAGAGCACTTCCCTGCTTAGCGGAGCCAACTGCAGAGCCCAGAACTATAGGGCTCGCACGGGGCGGCCACTGTGTCCTTGGGAAAAAGAGGGTTTTCCCTCTTGCTTTCCCACTCCTGTTCCTCACTGTCATTCTCTTCCTATTGTCCCTTCTACCCACTCAGGACTACCCATAAACAACTGTGTTATTCCAGTAATACACAGGGTGAGGGGCACTCAGGTAAGTTGGCTCCCTGAAACCTTTGGTGGGAAAGAAAAGCAATTCACTTGGGGTAATATATTATAAGTTTTAACAATGGCCACAATGTATTTTTAGTCCTGCATGATCTTCTGGAACCTTGCCACTTCCCATAAACATACAGCGTCTTCTTGGATTTGGCTGGGACTTGGTGACTTCTTCAGCCAAAAAAAGAGTGACAGGCTAGCATAGAAGGGGATGTGACTTTCACCTGACCTGCATGTGGGAGTTCTTTTTCTCTCCTGATGCCCTGGGAACCCAAACTATCTCATTATGAGGAAGCCCAGATCACATGGGAAGTCACCTGTATGCACCATCTGTCACAGTGAGTCAGAAATACTTCAAATGATTCTGGTTCCAGGGCTTCAAACTTTTCAGCAGATGTCCCAGATGGACAGGTGTCCATCTCATCACTGCAGACATTCTGGACCAGACACTTCTCTGTTGTGTGTGTACAGGGGTTGCCTGTACCTTATAGAACGTTATCAGCATACCTGGACTCTGCCCTTTAGACGCTAGTAGTAAACTTCATGCTGTAACAACCACAAATACCCCAAGACACTGACAAGTGGTGGAGGGAGAAAAGGGGTGCCTCTTGCTTAAGATAGCACCTCATATTATTCTGTTATTTTTTTTCTTCATAGCTAAAGTTACATTAAACATTATGGCAGAATACAAACTCTAAGAACCAGTGAGTCTACCTGTTCACACCAGTGTCTCTAAGACTACAAAGTATATGACATAAAGTGCTCAATAAACATATGATAGACAATGAATGACAATGACAATGTTCTTTAACCTCCATCAGTCTCAGCTTTCTCTGAAGAAATGTCTGTCTCTAAAAACTGGTATTGAGGGTGAGGGGTTTACCTCAGTGGTGTAAGTGCCTGTTTGGCAAATGCAAGGTCATGAGTTCGATCCTGGGACCAACAAAACAAAACAAAACAAAACAAAACAACCCAAAAAACTGGTATCGAATAGGCACTCAAAAGCTGGTGTGAAGTTCTTACTTTTAAACTTTAAAAACTTAACATGTTGGTTCTGAAATGTATATTCGATTAATGCTCCAAGAGGAGCCTTAGAAATTCATGAGCTGCACACTAAACAAATGAAGCTACATTGTGTTATGACAAACTAACTAAATACAAACAAAACACACCTCCCTTTTCTTTTATTCTATGGAGAATAACTACTTCTTTAGTTCCAAACACTAAACTATACAAAATTTTATGTTATGTGTAATTTGCACTTTACCTAGATCAGTGGTGGTAAACCTAGGGCACATGTCCACGGTAGGCTGTTCGTATCACTGAAAGCTCTAAAAGGTTTGTCACCCACATCACTGATCTAGGTTAAGGAAGCCATGTTGGTAGTTTTTATTTAATTCACATCTCTGGTCATCTATCCAAATTTGGGAAAGGAATTTCAAACCACCTGCAGTTCAGCTAAATTTTCAGTAAAAGGTCAACAGATGTGGCACCATCAGAGAAATTAAGTAAATGCCAAAAGAACTTAAACAAAAGAATGATTCAAAATGACTTTTCCTTCAAAAATGTTACATAGGATCTAGGAATTTGAAGCATGCCCTAAGTGTAGGTTAAAAATGGAGGAAAACTGACAAAGACTGACACAATATGAAAATATACCATTATTAAAAATTAGATATTCAGGGGCTGGGGGTTTAGCTCAGCGGCATACGCGCCTGCCTTGCAAGCAGGCAGTTGTGAGTTCAATTCTCAGTACTGATAAAAAGGAAAAAGACAACAACAAAAAAAAAATTAGATATTCTGAAAAATCAACAGGTTTGTTTTGGTCTTTTTGAGACAGGGTTTCATTATGCAGTTCAGGCTGGCCTTAAACTCACTTTGTAGCCTATGCTGGCCTCTAACCTGCAGTGATGTCTCTCCTGAGTGCTAGCATTACAGGCATGCATCACTACGCCCAGCTGAAAATCAACAGATTTTAATGGAAACAAAGATACGAGTGTTTTGAATGCAAGAACCATATTCTACTACATAAGAATCTCTCCTTTTATCCCTGGTACCAGTTATAGAGTACACAGTATCACTGATTTTGTAACTATTTAGAACTGTATTTGGCATCAAAATTAAACAAGTTAGGGGCTGGGGAGACTGCTCAGTGGCAGAGTGTTCTGTCCTGTCCACTCAGTTCCCCCTCACAGTCAAGTCACTGATCTACCCGTTTCTTGTTTGCTTGCAGAAAGATTCTCTGGAGATGAGAAAACATGAGTAGGGAGGACAGGGAGCAGGCTGTAAATGGTGAAACAGCATACATTGTTCAATACTTTGCTTGTGTCGAACAGAAACATCTGCATGGCACATACTGTATCTTTTAAATCATAGGTCTCTAACGCAGGTTAATTTCATTTGTACTAAAAAACTTAGATGCCATACTATAATTTAAAAAATCTTTTTGACAAATTGATCAAAGAAGAAGCTGGGCAGCTGTCAGAACCAGGGCAGGTTCTATAAGACTCCCTCACTGGTTTTCCCCACACTGTAAACTGTGGAGATTTAAACCCTCTGACTGAGCAGTGGAGTAGAGCTGACCTGTCGGCCTGTAAAGGGGCTATAGCTATATAATCACTATAGCTTCATACTACCCTCCCAGCCTTCTTAAAACCTGAAGACCTGGACTGTGGGGTGTGGTGGAGTGCTTTGCAGGACCTCCTCAGGCCTCTTATTGTTTCTAACCCTTGTTCCCTTGAGGAAACCCTGTCAGCCATCTCCTGCCTCTGAGCTACCTCTCAATTGAGTTTGATCAAGGTACCAAGAGTCCTATCCCTGATCACCAGGAAATCTATTCCACTTCAAGCAAATATACCCATCCTATACCTCTGTTATCTGGAAAACACCTGAGCCCTGTTCATCTGACTATTTGTGCTCACTAGTGGCTATGTATTCATTAATGTGAACATCACAGGAAAATCATACCAAGCTGAGCAGAGCCCTGAAGAAATAATGGGATGCTTTTTTAAACTGTAGGAAAATAACTTAAACATTTTCATCTTAAATGAATTTATTTTGTGACTATTCTTGTTTTTTAAAAAGTTCAGAAATCTGGGCAAGGTGGTCCATGCCTGTAACCCCAGCACTCAGGAGGCTGAGATAGGAGGATCCCTGCAAGTTCGAGATCAGCCTGGGCCACAAAGTGAGCTCAAGACCAGCCTGAACTGCAGCGCAAGACTCTTGTCTCAAAAAGACAAAAAAAAAAAAAAGTCAGAAATATGACATGCTGCTAGAGTAAGACTGTATTTATGTTTCTGAAGAGCCATGATATGTTATCACTATAGAAATCACTCTCTACAGGTCACTATAACAACAGTATTTTTGAAAATTTACCCATATGATGATATGGGCTGGCCAACCTTGACTCTATCCCACTAGCAAGTATGGAACATGACTATTACCCCTGGGAAAGGTTTTGCAGATTGGATAAACAATTCCCAATTATAAAGTCCAAGTCCAAGTTGCTACTTCTTTAAAATTCTGCTTTATCCAAGTAGTATTTCACAATAAGGTCTAAATATTACCTGGCTGAGAAAAAAGAAGCTGTGACAGATGCAGTGCAAGTGCCTGAAGGGCTGGAGCTCCTCCCAGATGGTCCACATCCAGGAGGGACACAAGACTCTGGAGACCCACCAGGGCTCTACACTGTATAGTGTTCATCCTGGAAAGGAAGGGGAACAATGTGATGTCTCTAAAACTCGTGCATCGGAATTCAGTGTTAACTTGTAACCCAAGCTTCAGGTTCTGGGACTGGGAACCTGGGGAGTCTCCTGCTCGTGGCAAAAAGGATCACGAGGTAAACTGCTAATCTGCCAAACAAACTGCTGGGGCACTCAGGGGCTCTGGTGCATGATTCATCTGATGAGACATGAAAAAGCTGCTCCAGAAGAATTTCTGTGCAAGGTAACATTTTAAAATTTATTTTCAACTAAGAAATACAATACGCATATGGTGGCATGCAACACACACAGAGGTTAACAGTTCATAAAGCAAATATCCATGTGTCTATGCAAAAAATAAACACCACTGGCCCTCTCAAAGCCCAGGAACTCCTGATTATTCCCCACCTCCCTGAGTCCTAGACGTAATCTCTACTTAGATTCATAAGGCAAACTCCTTGCTTTTCTGTATAGGCTTACTACCTAGGTGTGTATCTTTAAGAAAATTTGTTTACGGTTGTCTGGTTTTGAACTTGGCAAAACCGAACCACCCTGTGTAAAATGTTATCTTTTTTTGCTGAACATTGTAAGTTTCCTTCAAGTTGTAAGTAGTTCTGACTCAGTCCTTCTGACTACATTTCTAGTAAGTGATAATGTCAGAACATACTATCCAAGCTAGGCCTGGTGGCACATGCCTATAATCCTAGCACTTGGGAGGTAGAGACAGAGGCCAGCCTGGGCTACACAGTGACTCAAGGCCAGCTTCTACATAGCAAGATCCTGTCTCAAAAAACAAACAAACAAACAAGAAGAAGAAGATGATGATATTATACCCTGCTACTTCAGCAGCACACATACTAAGATCCAAATATATTATCCATTCTACCTGTGATGGACATCAAGATTGTTTCTAGGTTGAGGCAACCATGAGTCCAGGTGCTCAGAGCAACCTCATATGTGTATCCTAGTGGGAGAAAATCCAGGTATAAATCCAGGAACAAAACTCCCAGGTCTAAGGAGAATCAGTATTTTGTATGTAGTGGTACAACATTTCACATAATGACATGTTTTTGAAAATAGAAAAGTTGGGTTTCCAGGAGAACATGGTGGATAGATAGCAGCAGCTTCGGAGGCTCTCTGAGAAACTGCACTTAAAATCCAGGAATGGTGCCGGGCAAGAAATCCTAAGCAAGGGGAGATATTTGCCGACCCAGGAATGAGCTAAACTAAGAGAAACCAACTGGAAACGCAATCCTGGTGATGTAACAGAAAAGATAAGGTCTCAGCGCAAACGCTAGACCCCGCACTATTGGAAGCCGCGATTTGAATTTCCTGCAGCTGCTGCTGCGTCCCAACTGGCGCGGCAAGGAGAGAGGTGCGAAAGCTCTGAGAGTGGGAAGTGGTGAACTGAGTTGAGAATGGACTGGCTGGGAGCTCTGCATTGACCTGCAGTGAGTAAGTGGATCGGGGACCCTTCCATAGAGTAGGAGGCTTCAGCAAAGGACATACTGGGGGGCAGACTAGCCGGAACAGGTTGTTGCAGTGACTTCAGTCACATATTCCCCTGTCAAGCGGGCTTAGTGGGGAGTGCCTGGCCTGCGGGATGCCGCTGACTAAGACCTAGTAGGCTATCCCAAACCAGGTCCCAGCGCCTGGAGGTGCACCCTAGCAATGAAGCCTTCGGTAGGTTGACCTGGAGGGGCTGGCCCAGCATAGGCTGCCTAGGTCTCTGTCTCCCTAGTACACTGCAGTAAGCAGGAACACCTAGCTAGTGCAATTAAAACAAACTGTAACCGACAAAGAAAGAAACTGGGCCTCCTATATTCATTTGTATAAAAGGAACAAAAATATGGGAAGAGGGAGCAACAAGGAAGGGTCCTCAGCCCCCAATCCTGAGAAACAATATCAGACACGGCCCCAATAGACATAAAGCGCTATCTCCAGAGCCTCATAGATGAGTTCAGGAATGAAGTTATTAACGACCTGAAGCAAGATATAAGTAGAATAGTTAGAGAAATGCTAAACACCGCCCAAGAAAAAACAGATGGTGGAATGGAAGAATAGAAAAAAAAGGGAGAACTGTTTGATGGAGAAAATAGAGAAAACATAGAATACGTGAAGTAGGTTCAAAGAGATTACCAGGAAACTAAAAACTCATCGAAAACTGGCATAACAGCTTGAAAGAAACTAAGGATAGATTATCTGAACTAGAGGGCAGATTTGTAATATGGGAGCATGAAATGAAAAACTCCTTAAAAATAACAAAAAAACAAACAGCAACAATACAAAGACTAGAAGATGATAAGAAGATCTATAACTTAAGAATTAAGAACATAAAAGAAGTAGGGACACAAACAAATGGACTACAAAAGCTATTCACAGAAATAATCCAAGAGAATTTCCCTAATTTAGCAAATGGTAAAGATACTCAGATGAACGAGACATACAGGACCCCAGTCACCTACAACCCAAACAGAGCTACACCCAGGCATATAATAATCAAAATTCCAGAAATCCAATATAAGAACAGAATATTAAAAGCCGTCAGAGACAAGAAACAGATCACTTACAAGGGAACACCCATCAGAATTACAGCAGACTTCTCGGCACAAACCATCAAATCACAAAGAGCGTGGGGGTAAATAATTCAAGCTTTGAAAGATAATAGCCTCCAGCCAAGATCCTAGAAATTGACGGAAAAACAAAGAGCTTCCAGGATAAAGAAGAACTAGGGGAATTTGCAACCACCAATTCAATTTTACAGAAAATACTGCAGGATATTCTAAAAAAGGAAAATACGAAGATTCCAGAAATAGTGGCAGAGAGGCCACAAAGAATAGAGCAGAAAGCAAAATGAAGAAGACAAACTGACAACAAACGACAGAAAAAGATCTCAACAGAAATGAGGCAGAGAAAATCGGATGGCAGGAACAGCTATTTTGGAGAAAACAAGACATCATAATAGCTAGTGCTGATTTAGTATCATCTTGTTTTTTTGTACTCTTCTGTCTCCATCCGTCTTAAAAGGTTGTATCTTATTGGATTTCATTATATATGATAATATAAGTAAAAACTTTTATAGACAAGGAGATTATACAGAAACCATTGTTCATTTTCTGTTAATTGGTTCTAAATACCCTGTAATAATGTCATTCTCTTTAATGGTTTTATAGCATCTTGATATGTTTGGTGCTACAGTATACGAAGTTATACTCCAAGATTTCAAGGAAAGAGACACAATGGTAACTATTTTTATGTCAGGATATCTTGTGGTGAAACACTATTTTGCTTAAATGGTTATGTTTTGACCTGCGCTGTTCTGTTGTTATGCCCTCTTTTATCTCAATTCCCCCTTTTTTTCTAATTATTTACTTTTTTCATCTTTTTAATTAAGGGAAAAATAAATAAAAAATTGCAGGATACATTATAGTGACCTACTTTGATTTCCTATTAACTTGATTTGAAATCCTGTATTGCCCTCACCATCTTGTTTTGACTGATTTTCCCCTATTCTGTTTTGCTTGATAGTACCAAGTTCAAAAGTATAGGCAAAACTGTGGAGACAACAAGATTCATTATGACACCCATTCCAGTTGACTATTATCTTCTTTTAAAGTCCTGTAATGTCTCCAATGCTTTGGTTTTATTCTTTACTGTTTCATTCAATTTTATTGTAACTGGCAATTCTTCTTAAAATAGCAAGAGGCAGTATGGTAACCATTGTTGATCACCTTGTTTTTTGTTTTTACATTATCTATTATGTCCATCCTTTTGATTTGACTCTGTTCTGAAATGTCGCATTTGGTTTTACTCTCGTCAAAAAAAGTAATAAGAACTGTGGGAGTAATAAAACCCAAAATGTGTAATTGTCATTGTACAAAAGAAAAGAAAGTGCTCTAAAGATTATAACTGCATATATGTTTAAGTATATAACATAGATAACCATATTACTGAGTTTTTTTGGATCATTGAACAAAACTGTTTGCACTCTCACTGTTTGAAAGCCCACTTTATATGCTTCAATTTTGTAACTTGAACAAATATTTCTAAGATGAGAATATGTGATCTATTAACTAGTGTACTGTTTATTTTTTAATTTTTGTATTACTTATACCCTTTTTCTGTTTTTTTCTTTTTCTCCTTAAATAAAAAAAAAAGAAAAAGAAAATAGAAAAGTTCTTACTTTTTAATCAAAGGTTTCCAAGGAGGGTGCCTAGAACATATGTCCACTGCAACGCTATTTGGAAAGGCAGTTTTCTCAAAAACCTAGGTTTAAAAAGGCAGCAAGTCAAAGGCTGAAGATTGGTCATTTACACATGATTTCTGTATAAAAGTCTAACATATTACAGGGATACCTTGGTTGTTGAGCTCCAAGTTTGATCTTTCAACTACTCAAACAGTAAAGTTGGGAAAAAACGTGCTTGGGGTTCATAATCTTGCTTGATAATCAAACTGAAAATCTGACTTGAAAAAACCTGTATAGGCCCAGCATGGTGTCACACATCTATGATCCCAGCACTCAGGAGGCCTGGGTTGCCTGGGTTACACAGTGAATTGGAGGCCAGGCTCAACTGCATTGTGAGACTCTTCCTCAAAAAGAAAAACTTTAGCCAGAGAGTTAGCTCAGTGGCATAAGCAACAGCCTGACAAGTGCAAGGTCATGAGCTCAATCCCCAGTACCAAAAAAAGAAAAGAAAAGAAAACTTTAAAATAATTCAGAGAATAAAACCTATATGGGCTGAGAGTGGGTCACACTTTGTGTCTCACTGAGGACACAAAGGAGCAACACTTCAGTTTATGCACTACTCTTGCCCAGAAGACACATAGTGCTTATGTCAGTGCATTAAAACATCCAGTGTGCTTTTTCTTGTTGCACTTTACTTGCATAAAATACCATAACCACGGCTCCAAAGAAACTAATACTAGCAGTAAAACTAAGAGGAAAATTGAGGACCACAGGTTAAAGAAATGCAAAATTTATTAAAAGTTCTAGAAAAATTTTGGGGTCTCAGAACCAGTGATGTTGTTTTCTATTATTTATTATAGGAAAAATATGCTCAGTTCTCAACTTTCTGGCATGAACACGAATTTGGAATGAATAGTGCTTGACAAAGTATCACTGAACTTCCAACTGAAATGGTTAGGTGAGATCAAGACAGAATGCTCTATCAGCTTATTTCTAGAACTGTTCTTTTTAACAGTATCAGAAGGTGCTTGTGAGATCCATCTTCACCTTTTACCAAACATTGTTTTACGAATATGTAAAAGTACATTAGATAACACTAATGAAACACAGATAGAGATCTAGCATGTACAGACCAGTGGTTAGCCAGATCACCTTCTCTAAGAACAAGATTCACTGTCTTCATCATCATCATATAGTTTTCTTTTTCTTTTTCTTTCTGGTGGTACTGGAGACTGAACACAGGGCCTTCACACTGAGCTATTTCCCAGCCCTTTTAAACAATTTTTTTTTTGCTGAGAGTGATGGCGCATGCCTGTAATCCTACCATTTGGGAGGCCAAAGCAGGAGGATTAGCACAAATTCAAGGCCAGCCTGGACTACACAAGTAAGCACAAGACCAGCCTGGACTATACTGCATGTTGTACACACACACACACACACACACACACACACACTTTTGTGTCATACATAAAAACAAAAAAGTAACAAATTTTATTTTGAGGCAGGGTCTAAATTACCCAGTATGCACTTAAACTCTCCTATTTAGTCTCAAAGAATGCTTTAGATCCCAGGTGTGCACTACCACACCCAGCTTTAATTCTTTCTTTCATCATCAGCTACAACCTGGATGTGCTTACTTTGTTTGCATACAGAGTGAATAGCTTATTTAAGCCTTTCTCATGGTTTTTGTTTGTTTGTTTTGGTTTTGTTTTGGTTTTTCTGAGGCTTATTCTGTAATTCAAAGTGGCCTTGAACTCACTATGTAGCTCAGGCTGGTCTCAAACTCCTGTCTCCTGCCTCAGGTTCTTCAGTGCTGGGATTACAGGCATGTACCACAACACTTGGCTCCCCTGTTCTTTGATGAGCTTGAAATGAAAACAGATTACCTTCTTTGGGATGAGGTAATTGGTGAGAGCAGAGTGAACCTCATGAGAGAGGCAGAGTGGAGACAGCAGCTGCCCACCATCCTCAGTGAAAGAATTCTCCATAAATGCTTCGCTTTCATCACTGCTAGAAAGCTCTTCCCATTCATCATCCGAAGGATCTAGAAAGAATGCAAACCACACATAAGTGGGATTTTAAAGAAAGCGCCAGGGAAGCTGCCCTCTGCCAGAAGAAATGTGAAGGTAGCAAACCTTCATTGCAGCACATGTTGACAACAATTTCCAGAGCAGTCTGCTGAGCTGTCAGCAATGCCATGGTCTCTCTCAGTTCCTTGTCAGTGGGCTGTAAAAAAAGACAAAATAAAAATTGGGGGCATGAATTTCCTTAATTAAAGTCTTTTAAAGATTTCTGTGCTTGGAATAAAGCACATGGCAGGTAGAGAAGGTTGAAGAAAAACCATAACACACTAGAAGTACAAACAAATGTTGTACCTCTGCTGGCAGTCTAACTGCTACTGCAAACGGGGTTTCCAACTATCTGTGATTATTCTCCAAGCTTTGCTTAGTTAGGTAGAGAGAACAGATACATATTCAAAAATTCTGAACTGAATTCACCCTGAAATTTAATCTCATGTGTTAAGAAGCAGTTTGGCATATTAAGATTAAAAGTTCACTGCAGACACCAGGCACTTAAACACAATGGTACTTGCTTTTAGATGCGCAGACGTTTTCTTGGAAGACTGCACTAACACATCCTACTAACATATCCTTATATGACCAAACGAGCTTGGCTCAGGAGCAGACAGATTTGCTTCTTGGCTTTCCTTGAAGAATATTAATATTTATTTAAGAGTGAAAAAGATGAGGACACTTTTCTCGGAAAACATACAACTTAAATGGGAAGAATAAATGTATTTGACCTTAATTCTTACCTTGCTTATGAAATAGCCATAATGATATGAACAATACACCAAAATAGTGGAACAGGCTAAAAATAATACCTGTTTTATTGTCTATTTGCGAATTTGTTAAATGTTCCAAATTTTAAGTTTTCCAGTTGTCTTTTATTTTTTGTGGTATTGAGGACTAAACGAAAGTAGGGCCTCATGCTTGAAGGGCTTTATAACTGAGCTAACTTCCCACCCTTTATTTTATTATTTTTTTGTACTAAGGACTGAATCCAAGGCTTTCACAGAGCTACATCTCCCTGCCAATTAATTATTTATGGGGGGGGGGTAATGTTTCAATAAGTTGCCTAGGCTGGGCTGGAGTTTGTAATCCTCCTGTCTCAGCCTCCCAGAGTATGGGAATTACAAGGGTGGGCTACCATGCTCAGCTCTTCCCACATCTTTTTTTTTTGGAGTCAGGGTCTATGTTGGCTGAAGCTGGCCTACAACTTACGAATAGCTCCTGCCTCAGCCTTCTGAGTAGCTTGATAAGTCTTATGATATATTCCTGTTTCCCAAGGCTTCTAAAAATGTACTCATTTAAAACTCAACTAACTCCTTTGTCCAAAAATTTAACTGAAACTTTGAAAAAGTTTAAAAAAAGGGGGGGGGGTGTTTGCTGCTCAGTGGTACAGTACATGTTTAACATGTACAAGGCGTAGCATTCAATCCTGATGAAAACAACAAGAAGCAAATTACTAATGTAATACATGTCACACGTTTAGCGTTTCCAAACTTGCACTGCATTTATTTCTACTATGTATACAATGTATACAAACACTGCGGTTATTTGCAACTAAACAAATCTTTATTAGAGTAGCTCAAGCTAAATAAGACTTGTTCCTTGGTTCTCATCCACTTGAAATGTATGAAGATCTAATTTAGAAGGAGCTCTGAAATTAGGTTCCACCGTATATAACTGTTGTTCAGAACATTTCTCTGATGCCTATTATCATCAAGTTGACATACAGACTCAATCTAGACAAAATGTTATGACAATCCAGATTTGCTTCAAAGTAGCCAGCAGCCTAAGTGAGGAAACATGAAATGAAATAGAAGGGCTGAGTAATTGCTAACTGGGAACTGGGTGGGTACCGTGCTTTAGCCTGTGTTAGGAAAAAATAACTGGGTTAAACTCTTTTCTTTCCATAGTTACAGTAATGCCTTAAATTTTTATTCTAAAGATCTCCAGTAGAAACCACTAGGTAGTGTACTGACCATGGTTAACTATAAATCTGTATCCCTGCCACAGATGAGCACGATGTCCGGAACCCTACTGGTATTGGCCCTTAAGCACAGGCTAGCAGATGGCCGGTATGCTAATCACTCAGGCTACTCAGTTAAGACTTTGAAAACTAAGTTTTTGTTACGAGGAAACTGCATTTTACAAGCACAGAATTCCTTTATATTTTTTAAGGGGGTTTCACTATGTAGTTCACATTGGTCTTAACTCACTACACTGTTCCAGGCTGTCCTTGAACTGTGATTCTTCTGCCTCAGCCTCGCAGAGTGCTGGAATTACAGGCCTGTACCACCATACCCATCTGAAATAATACCTCAGCAGATTTGGCCCTCAGGTTGTCTCCCTAGCAGGCCTTGGAAGCAAGGCTGGAGAGGGAGAGAATCACTTGAAGAGTCCATCCTCCCAATCCCAGCCTAGGGCTTCAGATCCTTCAGAAGCCTCTGACCGCCTAACTGTAACTCCCACTTCTCAGTGTGCCCCAGTGGGTTAGGGTAAAAACTTGTACAATGGTAACAGCAGAAGATAAGCCTGAAAGTACTGACCTACCGTATCCCTTATACAGAAATGAAGCCAGGCACATTCTACATCAATACCCATTCTGGAGAACAAGGTGTGAGGAGCTGTGCTTTCATGCTCTCCCCTTTACAGATGTTAAATTCTACTCACACTCTGATACAAAGGCACAAGTGACACAAGGTATAAATCTGGGCATCAAATGCATGCCAGGGATGATTTATTCACCCTAGAACTTAACACAATGCTTTGGGCATTCATATGTAGTAGTTCTGATTGCAATAAAATTCTGATTTCTCTTTAGAACTCCAAATTATGCTTCACAAAACAGTCCAGGCCAGCAGTGGGGAGGCTGAGGCAGGAAGATTATTGCAAATTCAAGACCAGCCTGGGCTACAAATGAGCCCAAGGCCAGCCTGAACTGTACTGCAAGACCCTGTCTCAAAAAGACAAACAAACAAACAAACAGCCCAGCCCAGGTAGTCTATGCAAAAAGCCATCTCAGCAAGTGTCCTTCTGAGCCAGGAAGGGTGATACCTGTAATTCAAGCACTTGGGAGGCTGAAGCATGAGGATTACTGTGACTTAAAGGTCAGCCTGTTCTACAGTGAGTTCAAGGCCAGACTGAGCTACACAAAGAACTTTTCTCTCAAAAAAAAAAAAAAAAAAAAAAAAAGCAAGCATCCTCCTGTACTCTAAATCAGATAGTTTCTATAGAAACTACACCCTTGGAAATCTAGGCACAGCCAACCACCACTCTTAGCCCAGCCCTTATGACCAACCATAGGCTTACCGGTCTGTCCTACTAAGACATTCACTAAATCACTAAATGCCCAACTGGGCTTAAAATTGCAATCCTCCTGCCTCAACCTCCCAGAGCGCTGAGATTAATGGGATATGCCACCACACCCACACCCAGTTTAAAAGTTTCATTTTAGTGTGATTATTTTTCCTCTTTGGAAGTAGACGTCTAACATTTCAACATTTTCTATAGTTAATTTTACTGTAATATTTTTCTATAAAGCTCTGAAAGAAAACAGCTGGTCAATCCACATGTAGGGCCATTAGTCTGACTTACTGGAAGTAAATCGGAAATGAAAGTTTTCTTTCTTGCTTTTCTTTTATGAGGAATTTCTTCCATTTCATCATCTTCCATCAAATCATCACCATTAGCATTCTCTAAAATGTCCTCAGTCTCTGTGGCAGTTTTTAACCGTTGGGTTTCAGCCTCTTTCATTTGAATTACTATTTCAGCAGCATCCATTTCCAAAACTTCAGACAAGATCTTTAGTATGGCATTTATAATTTCTGCCTGACTCTTGGATGGAATAATGCCCTTTAGATTCCAGACTGTGCCTGGGGGGAAAGGAGCAGAAGGACAAAGAACTGCCTGTGAAATCTTACATTAAGTACAGTTTCCACAAGACTGGGTCTGGAAGCTCAGGTGTAATTTCAAAATATCTCAACCATGCTGTCTTTGTTCAGTTTTATTAAATGTCAAGAGGAACTGCACAGAGGTAGCACCCTTTGTTATAATGCCTCACAATCACCCGCCTGCCTTGACATACAATGCCTTTCTCTGACACATGACACATCATCAGATGAGTGAAGGCCGATCAAATTTCTTTTAAAATGACAGTCAGTTGCATTGCTTTCTTTCATCTTTACCTAAACTGCTCTTCTCAGCAGTTTCTTACTTTCCAAGAGGGGAATGGAATGCATTAAAATTCCAAGGTCTCATGTGCAAGCCAGAGAGCAGGTTCTTTGCTTTTTTCCTTATCAAAAGAAAACAGAAGCTACTATTAAGTAATCAGATTAATTTTTTTAAAAGTGACTATGAAAATAAAAACAGCATGTAGACATAGACCCAAAAGATTGAAAGTAGAGACTCACCTGGGTTATATCCATGTTCACTGCAGCATTCTCACAATAATCAAAAGGTGAAGGTAACCCAAGTTCTCATGGATACAAGATGAATGAATAAACAAAGTGCTACATGTAACAAGATAGTATTCAGCCTCAAAAAGCAAGACAACATTGACACATGCTGTAGCTGACACAAGTTACAACATGGATAAACACTAAGGAATTTACCTTGATGAAACAAGTCAGTTACAAAAAGACAAACACAAATGAGTCTATTTATAAAGTAAGTAGTCAGATCTCTAAAGTAGTAAATAGAATGATGGTTGTCAGGGACTAGCAGGAAAGGAAAATGGGAAAAACTCTTTTAACAGGTATTAAGTTCAGTTTTAGAAGATGAAAAGAGATCTGAAGATTTATTGAATGTATTTGTGAATGTATTTTATACCACTGAGCCAAACCTGTAAAATGGCTAAGATGGTGAAGCTACTATACTATTTTACGTTACGTGCATCTTACTACCATAATTTGAAAAACATAACAAAACTTTTCATGATAAATTACCTCTGTAAAGTCAAAGGGAAAAAGTGAAGTATAGACAGAAACTTATTAAGATACCTATTACTTAACAGATTATCATATTTTTATATTCAGAGACTGGGGTAAAAAGTGCTAGAGAGGAAGAACTCGTGGAAAAGTAACAGCCATCCCTTGATTGCCCAGAGTCAATTTCTGAACTTACTGGCTCATAAATAAAAAGGGATCTTGACCAGAGCTATTCTAGAACACTTTGTAACTATGGACAACTATTTGAATTAAGGATCTCTATTTAAATATTAAAATTTTCAGAATGGACAGAAGTACAGAAAACCCTAATGTGGTGAAATGAAGGAATAATGAGCTTCAGTCTCCACCTCTACCCAATCCAAGTTACCAGAAATGGCTCACATATCATTTGGCTAAATTTTACCTGCCACAAGTGTCTTTAATAGGATGTATTCCATAGAACTGACAGGATAAACCATTGCAGATTCCAGCACATGCAATGCTGTGGCACTGAAAGATTTCAGTAGGTCTGGGTTATCTTCAGTTACTGTCTGTAAACAATATGCTATAAGACAAAAAATTAAATTACTTAGAAAAAAAAAGAATTCTGTTTAGAATACTTTTTACAAATACCGCACAACTTAACAACAACAACAACAACAATAATAAAACAGTGTATCTTTTTAACATCTTTAGATACATATAGCTTTTATAAGATATTTACATTGTACCTCAAGGGTGCAAATAATGCTTCCTAGACTATCAATGGTATGTAAGATCTTTTTTTTCCTTAAAATTTCTAACTTTTTACTGAACTATTTTTTTATTAAATAATTTTAAAAGGCTGCTAAATACTGTGGCAATGTCAAATTACTGTTACTATTTGTAACAGTTTATCTTAATTTATGTTTTTATCACAGGCCAGTAGCAAACTGTCCAGCGTATGGACAAAACTCTTAGGGAAGTTTTGCTGCCAAAAACAAGATTTAGATTTTGGGACATTCTGGCTTCCTTTAAATTCATTGTGGTTTAAAATGTTGGGATTATTTCCGCTCAAACAACAGTACTTTAAGGGGAAAAAAAGGTCACTTTACATAAAGATATGTGCAAATTGAGAAAAACCTAAAATATTAATAGACATCTACCACATTTATCACTTAACTTCATCTCTTGCATTAATTAAAACAAAATAATAGATTACAAATTGCATATCAGAAATAATTAATTGAATGTATTAAAAAAATTGGGCCTGCATAAAAGTTTGGCATTAGAAATCAGTAAAGCACATAAGAGGAAGCAAGCCTAAGTTTGTTTTCTTTGAGACATTTTATTCTACTCAAATCCATTTCTTTTCAGGTCTAAAAAGTTCAAAATACACATGCCAAATTAATTAAGTCACACGCTGCTGCTGTGATCTAACTTGGTTCCCAAAATACATTTGTATACAAATCTATATGCCTAGGCAGATAAATATATATGCTTACATCCAAGTCTATTTTTTGTTGAGATTAATTTTATTCACTTTAGCAAAAAAATGGGCAAAATTAAGTATAACTGCTCCCATAAAGACAACAGTTCAAAAAAGCTAAGTTAATATATAAGAATTTTATAAATTCACTTTACTATACATAAGCCTTCCTTAACATTCTATTTTTTGTTTGTTTGTTTTTTTGAGACAGGGTATTACAATGTATCCCAAACCGGCCTTCAACTCATGATGGAGACCAGAATGACCTCAAACTCACACTGATCCTCCTACCTCAGCCTCCCAAATGCTGGGATTATAGGTATGCACCAGCCCACTGAGAAACCTTGCTGAATTTTCAAAACAAGAAGGACATCTGTTCATACAGTCAAGACTTTTAATTTAATGCATAAAGAAAGCACTATTATTCATGCAAAGTGACTGTATTCTGATCCACTTCATAAAAATGCATTAGAAGATAAAAAACAAAAACAACAAAAACTAAATCTACATGACAAGAGGCACAAAAATAAGTTTTTTATTTAAAAAAAAAAAAATCAAACTTTCCTGAAATTCTCTTTCTGTAATAGAAACTTGCCTGGGATTAAGTCATCTACCAATTTCCTAAAAGCAGTCGAACTGTTTTTGGAATCCTCTGTTACTCACAATGCTGCCACGCAAAGATTCCATTTGGAGAAACTGATTTTTAAATTTTTCCTAGTAGTATTTATTTCACTTTTCTTTTTCTTTTCTTTCTCTTAAACGTATCTATTAGAGTCAAGAGAAGCACCAATCAATAGGGGAAGACACTTCTTCCTTATAGGAGAAATTACACAGTTAAACAAGAGGACAGTGGGATGCCTGCTAACGCGAGGAACAGGACTTCTCCTCAGCTACTGCTTTGCTCTCACTGCCCACCTCCTGGTTTCAGTTTCTGCATATGCGGAGCAAGAGTACCCAATGGCTCACTAACCCAAACAGGGAGGGTGGGAAGGTTAGGGTTAAGATGTTGCTTCTCCTGCCGGTAAGAAAGGAACCAAACCTAAGGGAAAATTCAAATCTCTTCTTTCTCTTTCTCACAAAAAAGGCAGGTTATCAGCTGGGCGTGGTGGCACATGCCTATAATCTTAACACTCAGGAGGCTGAGGCGGAAGGATCATTGTGAATTTAAGAACAGCCTGGGCTACAAAGTGAGCTCAAGGCCAGCCAGAACTGCACAGAGAGATCCTGTGTCAAAAAGACAAAGGGGAAAAAAAAAGCACAGGGTATCAATCAGTTTTCTGCCGGGAGTGTGAGATGTACTGGTACAATACATTTAAGTAAGCCTAGATTCCAACTAACTTTGGCTCAAAGGCCCAGAAATTGTGAGTTCTTATTTCTGAGAAAATGGAGATGAAAACTTCAAGACTTCATAAAGGCTCTAAGAAGTAACAGTCTAGAAATTATACACTTAAGCCATTACCTTCTTCCCTTTCAAAAAGAAAAGCAGGAAAATTACATAAGATTTAATAAGATTCAAAACAAACAAAACTACTCTGCCACAGGTTTAAATATACATAATGAGATAAAATCACTCCTATAGAATAAACATGCTATGTCTGAACACAGATTTTTGAATAGGCCACACACAATAAATCATCACCTTTTCTTGACTTACCTACTGAAACAGCCAGGTCAACATTGGTGGGAAACCTACTTAAATACTTTAATACAATCTCCAAACACCCTTCTTTGTTGAATATAGATACTGCTCTACTACTGCATTCACTAAATTGAAGGGGGAAAAAAAAGTTTTACTATTCACATTTTAACATTAAGAAATCAACCACAGAAATCCATTAAAAAAATAAAGCTGTATAGAACCAAAGACTTAGAGTCAAACAACCACCATTTTTGCAGATGAAGAAACAAACGCCCATTCATATTCATTGTACTTGAGAACTGGCTGTCTGTATCTCATTTCCCTCATGGTGGGCTCACTCTTTGACTATCATTTTATCATGACAGCTTCCTCACAGAAGTTTAGAGCTAGAGACCTTGGGAAACCTTAAATCCAACTTCCCAGTTTACAGATGAGAAAACCCAGGCTTTAAAAGGTGCAGTAATCTGTCCAAAGATCACACATCCTGCCAGCAATGGAGCTAGGCCTGGTACCTAGGTTCTCTGGATCCATTACAGCACAATAATAAGTTCAGGTAAGGACAACAGGCCTCTTATTACACAGAAAGCACAGATTTAAAAGAAAATTACATTGTATTCATTCCTGCTAGAGTACATCAGTAGACTCAGTAATCGGCAACAGAGAAATTACTCTGATATTTATAATTATACTACTTTGTTTTTTTGAGACAGGGTCTTGCTGTGTAGTTGAGGCTGTCCTTGAACTCACTATGTAGACCAGGCTGGCTTTAAACTTGCAGCAATCCTCCTGTCTCAGCCTCCCGAGTACTAGAATTACAGGTGTACACCACCACACCTGGCTATACCACCTTTTATAAAAGAATCAGAGAGGTATCAATGTTACTAGTTAACATATACACTAAATACAGAGCAAACAGAGTTAATTGTAACAATTTTAACCATGTTTCTAGAGAAAGATATTCCCCTACACATATACACATGACATACTGACAGAGCAGATCACATTATTAAATTATCTATTATCTTGGGAAAAATATTTTCTGTTTGTTGTCTATACCTATTACACACCTAATTTCTGCAACACTGAAATGTAGTCAGAAGACAAGGCATACATGCGTAGAGATAACCTGAAATATAAACTATGAAACAAAAATATTAAGAGCTGTAATAACTAAATAATAAAGCATTCCAGAAAAAGAAATCACTTGGAGACATATTCAGGCTCTTTTTAAAGATTTTAAAAGAAAAAAATGTCATGGTAGGCATGGTGACAGTGGTTGTAATCAGCATCCTAAAGGCTGAGGCAGGAAGATTACAAGTCTGACGCCGGTCTGAGCTACAGAGCAAGACTTTGTCTCAAAATATAAAAACAAAATCCAGTTGGACAACTTATAGAAGTTAGGGGTGTAGCTCAGTGGTAGAACACGTCTCAGCTTCCACAAAGCCCTGGGTTCAATCCCTCCACTACAAAACAGCAAGTTAAATTTACTTAGTGCACAAAAACAGCACTGATGAGTTTGCTCAAATGCCATTTCCGTAAGTCTGATGTCACCGTTACTTCTGACGGAATGCACCCACCAATTCAAAATGGAATCGCAAGCAAGTTCAGACTCAAGCAGCTTTGCCGGATCCAACTTAAATCTTACATTCTAAGAACCACTTATGCTTTTCGGTCAGTGTGATAAATGCTGCTGACTAAAATAAGGAGCTATGACAGAATCCTGCTATAATTATGGACAGATAAAAAGTAAATCCAGGTTGTGCCTCTTGCCATTCCTCTGCCCTCCACCAGAGATACGACCACTGAATGGAAAGCAGCCTTCTCCTATTAGGCCTGAGGGACCTGTTCTGGGCATCTACTCATCACTCAAATGGTCACCGCCATGAAAGAGTAAAGCACATCATGGTTTGTGACCCCTCTCTCATTCCAGACACCAAAGCAGGTCTAGCTGCTGCTGGGCGTGTATCCAGGAGCTAGGGAGAAAGGAGGGACAGCAGGTGCTAATAATGGCCATGATTCCTCTTATTTTTGTCAGTGGTAGTAAGTGGAAGGAGGACATGTTTTTTAAAAGATGCAAGGAAATTAGGAGGAAAAAAGAGCCTGGGAAGACCTGCTGATCTCAGGTAACCTGATACTACCTCCTACCACGTATTACCTTCATGGAGTTACAGGGCTACGCAGGGAAGGAGAGGTTTCTACACAGTTTAACAGAAAGAGCAGCAGCCTGAGCAGTGATGTAAATGAAGGCTACGCTTGGAGAGCATCTTACCATACATTCCACAGCACATTCACAGCCTCATTGGCTATGTTCTCAATGGTATTTCTGTTCTGATCTTCTTTCTTCTGTGGAGACATCTCACTTGAATCCAGTCCAGCACTACACTGCAACCAAATATCATGATTAGTACCCTGGCTCAAAAGAATGATTAAGTAAAAAGTTAATGACAGTGAAGAATCACAAAAAGTAAGCATCAGAAATTATAGTATACTAGTTAACAGGACTATCAAATCCTCATAAGCACTACAATTCCCACAAGCCTATCTTCCTTTGGCAGGAAATACAGACAACAGTTCCCAAGCCATTATGAAAACTGGATATAAAGCATCATATTGTCAAATAAAGTAGAAATTCAATGTAAAGTATTTTACCTAATGTGATAATAACCAGTAAGGAAGGCAATGAAAAAGCCAGGGATGGTGGTACACACTTATAATCCTAGCACTCAGCAGACTGAGACAGGACTGCTCCAAGTTCAAAGCCAACCTAGGCCTAGTGAGCTAAACACCATTCTAAATTACACAGCTAAATTACAAACATTAACCCTTCCCCCAAAATGAAGGTAAAGAAATATAAACAGTAATGTCTGTATAGTGCCCACTAAGACAGTATGATTCTAAGCACTTTACATATATCATTCAATCCTTATAGCAACCTACAAAGTAAATGAACTTTTTCTTTCTCTATCAGTGGGTATTGAACCAGGGCCTTTCCACTAATTTACATCCCCAGACCTTTTGTATTCTTTGAGACAGAGTTATGCTAAATTGGCCAGGCTATACTTGAACTTGTGATCCTCTTGCCTCACACTCCCACATGCTAGGTTGACAGGTATGTGCCACCACATCTAGCTTGAGGTAGAAGAACTATCATCCGTAATCTCCTGACACCAATAGGAAACTACAGGGATGCTGAGGATAAGCTTAGTATGGTAAAGCTGGCCTTCAGAGTACTTACTGCAGGTACTCTGCCCCCAAAGCTGGCACTATTAGCCCTCTACAGTACTGCTCCTTTAGTACAGTTGATGGCACCTTCTAAAACAGAGCTGCTACACCTAGAGCTTCTATATTACTGACATTTTGGGCCTGATAACTTTGTTGGGGGTAGTGGCTGCCCTGTGCTTTGTAGGAAGTTCAGCAACATCTTGAGCCTCTATGAATACTGGATGCCATAAGCCACAACAACCGGAAGCGTCTCCAGATAGTGCCAGATGTCCCTTGCAGGGTAAAATCACCCCAGCTGAGAATCAGGAAACAGAAATGATGCCTCACCCTAAAACTAAATATACTTTATGTGGCCTTTAGTGAAAATTACCCTTCAATACAGAGTGGCATGCTAGAGGCAGAGAATGAGCTCCTTAGCCATTAAACAACAGTGTGTAACAGGAATAGTGTGATATTAAGCTTCAGAACACAATGTAATGTTCACAAGAAGTTCATAATGTGGCTTGGCTGTCATACATAAAATGGAAATAATACTGGCCTCAGGCTGGGGAATGTAGCTCAGAGGTAGACCATTTGCTTAGAACATGCAAGATCTCAGGTTTGAATCCCAGGCAAGAAACAAGCTTAAAAACAACCTCATAAAAGCAAAACAATACAACCTGCTTTATAGGACTGGTGTGAGGATTAAGTATATACATGACAAAAATATAATTTGGCACACAAATAAGCAAAAGATAAGTACTCATTACTTTCACTGTATGAAGTTTAAGGTCTAAAGGAATCTGTATAGTTTTAGGAAGGTCTTTTCCAACTATCATGTAAATAAAAAAGCAGTGTGGATAAAAACCAGATCGCTATTAATGATGAATGATGATAGTAGATCAGTATTTCTAGGAAAAGAAACTCCTACAGGAAGTTTTGCTTTTTTTTGTTTGTCTGTTTGGGTGGGCAGTGGAGAGTGGGGTTAGACAAGGTCTGACTATGTGATTTAGGCTGGCCTCAAACTCAGGGCAATCAATCCTCTTGCCCTCCCACCACCACACCCAGCAATGGGAAAGACAAAGTAACAGACACTCAAGTACTTTAAAAAGGGGGGTCTCTTACGAGCTGACTTCAAGCAGCCATTTGAGACAGTGTAAAAGTTGCATACCTCTTTCAGTAGGGCCACGAGAGGAGTCATGATGTCCTTAGTCACCATGTCATCACATACTTCAAAACCTCCACAAGCACTGAGGTTTCTACATTAAGAAGTTTGAAACACGTTTTACTTTCAGATCATACGTCACAAATTGATTGCTACTTTTAACCATACTTAAGGTTTCCCAAGGAAGTAATTTATTATTTCTGTCATATGCACAAGAACCAACCCACAGATTTCTATCCGTTCTGGTTCTTATTCTATAAAATGAAAACAAATAATTATCTTAGTTCTGAGGTCACAGGTACATGGCTACAGGAAAAAGGAAAGACTTCTATTCAACTTGAATACACTGCATCTTGTAGGAAGACAACATTTTTTGGAATCCAGACTAAAGGAGCTCACTGATAGAGCATTTGCCTAGATACACAAGGCCCTGGGTTCAATTCTCAGAACTGCAAAACAAAACACCTTCAATAGCAGCAAGATGAGGCCACTCATCTTGGACACACTTGAAGCAGCCTGGTTACATTTAATTTAACTGGAAAGTGGCTTGTCTTCTGAAAGCACAGCTCTATGCCAGGCATTAAGAATGTGGACCCAGCTTATGAGTATTTTAGAGGAAGGGCTGGGCTTTCCACAAGTACTTTCCTCCTTGAGGACAGGAGGACATCCATGGCACTCCCTCAAGTGTCTAATCCTATTTATCACCTGGTCTCACCTCAAACAGCACTCACCCAGGGTTTTCTTCCCTGAATCCCTGGTTATGATACCCTCTCACATCATCCTCTGCAATTACCACTGGGTTGAATTATACACTTATGATATCTGGTTATTCAGTTATGTTTGTCTCCTTCAACAGACTTGAAGATTCATTAATGACAGCTGGGCATGATGGTGTATGCCTGTAATCCCAGCACTCAGGAGGCTGAGATAAGAGGACTGCTGCAAGGTCAAGGCTAGCCTGGGTTAGTGAGTTCAAGGCCAGCCTGAACTACACGGTGAGATTGTCTCAAGAAAAGGAAAAACATAAAAAATAACCTGGTCATGGCATTCCACAGCTCAGAGTTAAGTCTCCAGCGTTATACCCTCCTTCTTCTTGCCCATTCTCTAGCCTCCCCTCCCATACATAACTTCCTACCCCTACTCTACTTGGTCATAATAACCCACGCCAAACTGTGAACAGTCTCACTTCTCTGCTATTGCTATTCCCTCCCTGGGGAATGCTCTTTCCCTATTTTTCCATGTCTGGCTCTCTCACCTTGTGGTCTGGGTTCATAAATATCACCTAGCCAACATTCAACGTAGACTTCCTATCCTCAACTCACCATCTTGTTTTTCCATAACACTTTTCCCTAGTTTTGTCTGTTTTACTTTTTTTTACTAGTTGTTTGTCTTGCCCTCAAGCTAGGTTTTGCAAAGAAAGGTACCTTGGCTCTCTTGCTCGACCTCTGCTAGCTCAAAATCTCTTGAATTTAAGAGCAAGTCATGGGTCACAGACTAGAAGAGTTCATCCAATCAAGGAACTCTATTGAGGGTTTTTGGAAAAGGGAAAGTGTGCACAAGTCTGAGGGCAAAATGCTAAGTGGCTGGTGCAAGTGACAAAGGGAATACATGGAGTATTGGGTGCCCTGTAGTCTACAGACTGGTTCATATCCGCCCCTTCACCTCGAAAGTCAGGTGGAACTTTCGCCCTTCCGAGAACGTCAAGGGTGCATCAGGCTGGGAGGCCTGGCATCTAGGAAGCGCTACTTCGTGACTACTAGACCTCAGGCGCGCAAGGCCCTCTTCTGGCTCACCTCAGCGCTCCGGCCGCCGTCTCCCTGACCGCCAAGCTGGGGTCCAGCAGCAGTGGCCCAAGCTGGCGCACAGCATCTCGGCGGGCCAGGCAGGGGAGCGCAGGGCGCTGCTGCACTAGCCGGGCCAGCCCCGCGCAAGCGCACTCGCGGACCTCAGCGCTCGGGTGCTGGAGCTGCGGACAGAGCGAGGTGTCAGAGGTGGGGCAGTGCGCACGCGCGTCCGGACCCACAGCCCACCCCGAACCCCGCGCTCCAGCCGGGATGAGGCTCTAGCCTCACCTTTTCTAGAAACTCCGCCACCGGCCCGTCGTCTTCCTCGTCTCCAGTCCCATTCGCCGCCGTCGCTGCCGCCTCAGCCAGACAGTTCCCCGTAGGGGAAAACTGAGGTCGCTTGAAGCGTTTTGTCCGGCTCTTGCCCATGGCGATGTGTGCTTTGGGGATGAAACAAGCAAGAAAAGCAATAGCAGCTCGTGAGGGTAGCCGTACTGATGGTAAGGCCTGGTCACCAAGGGAGTAATCGTTATCTCTGCTCTGATGGGATAGCCGACTGCCTGAACACACATGGGGAAGCAGCGCGCATGCGTGCAATATGTCGCCAGAGAGGAGCGCTGGCGCGGGGAATGCGCAGGCGTAGAAGAGTGTGGGCGGGGCAGCCCTGTGTGAAAGCTGAGTCCGCTGGATTTTCCTGAAAATCGCAACACCCAATCCCCATCAAAGCACTGAATTCCTGTTAGGTAAACTGTATGTGGAAGAAAAGTTCTATCTCATAGAGGCTCTACCCTCAAAGAGTTAACTGCCTTCCTAGGAAAATAGCATAATTAAAAGAACAATCTCAGAGGAATATTTCCCTTCACTTTTGGTTTGTTTTTTGAGACAGGGTCTTGCTGTGTAGTTTAGGCTGACCTTTGAACTCACTATCGACCTCACTGTGATCCTCTTACCTCAGCTCCCAAATGTGCCACAATGCCTAGCTATTTAAATTTTTAGAAGACTTTTTTGCCCAGTGTGGTTGTAGTAACCCCACCACTTGGGAGGCTGAGGTAGGAGGATAGCCACCAGTTAGAGATCAGCCTGGGCTACATAGTGAATTCAAAATCAGCCTAAACTACACAATGAGATCCTATCTTCAAAAGCAAGCAAGCAAACAACAACAACCACAACAAAAAACGAAAACCCTAATGCCATGATGGTCCCATGTAGCTATAGAGTGTGGTTCAGAGTGTTACATAAAATATGCCAGGTGCTGCCAATACCTCATTACCAGCCCAGAGAACTTCCTCATTCGTCCCAGAAACTCCCTTGAGCTGTCTTTTTCTTAGGTTTGGGGGACTGGAGAGCCTAGTGTGCTTCCACAGCTTTTGACCTTACCTGTTTCCACTATCCTAGGACACAGTCTTATGTTTACTTCTAGCCTCTCTGAGTTGTAGGGACTTAAACGTGGGAGGTACAGGGGAAAAAACTAAGGAAATGGCTATGAGATCTGGCCTGCTTTCCTCAACCTCCTCGCTATCCCGGCAGACACCCACCATTGGGCCTCCTGTGTACTTTGTGTGCACAATTCTCTCTCTTAGAATTCTTCAAAAGTTATGATCAACCATACACTGTAGGGGCTGGGGTGAAGCTCAGGTGCAGGGTGCTTGCCCAGTATGTACAAGGCTCTGGTTACAGCCCCAGAACTGGGGGGTGGGGTGGGAGTCTGCATGTGTGGGGTCCCTACCTACCTGGGAGCTCCTTGGAAGGCAGGGGCGGTTGACAATCTTTCTATTAGCAGTGGCTGGCACTTAGCTGTATAACAATCTCTGGGGTATCCATGCCCTCTGCACAGTTACTTTCCTCTATCTCAGCTGGCCCTCAGTGACCAGGTAGCCATCAGCAAGAAATGTCCTTGCTGGGAATCATCTGCAAGGTAGTGAGACCCTGATCCTTGGCTCCGGACCTGCCGCTAATGTGCTGTGTGATCAAGGGAGGCTTTCTCTAGTCACAAAAATCTAAGGGTCCTAGGAGTATCAAAGGGCTGTGAACCATTTTATTTCATAACAAGGAAAGATATTATTTCTGGAAGGAAAATTGCATGTTGAGTGCCTCCTGAGCAGATGTCAGAGCCTGAGACTGGCAATCTTGCTGATGACTTCCATTTGGTCCTCAGAATTTGCTGAAGTAGGAATAGCAATAGTGTAACTGCTGGCAAGCAACCTGAGCATCACTGCTCAAAGGGATCTGCTGCCCATCCAATTCCACACCCTTACCTCATTTGACACATACCTATTGAGCATTTATCATGTGTCAGGCACTGCACTAGGGATGAGGAATAAAGAGAACTAAGGCCTAGGCCCTGTGGTCATGGGGTTTTCAGTCTCTAGCACCACAACTCAATACTGCCTTTAGCAAAATTACTATAGAACTATTAAGAAAAAAATACTAAAGTTGGGTGCAGTGGTGTACACCTGTAATCCCAGTACTCTGGAAGGCTAAGGCCGATGGATCACAAATTCAAGCCCAGTCTGAGCTTTGGCAAGAATCTGTCTCCAAAAAATTTAATTAGTTTTGTTTATTGATTCTTGAACTCATGGCAATCCTTTTGTCCTCAGCTTCTTGAATGCTGGGATTACAGGTATGCACCATCAAGCTTGACTCAAAAAAAGAAATAAAGAAAGAGAGAAAGAAAGAGAAAGAGAGAAAGAAAATTAAAGAAGAAAATTAAAGGCCTGAGGATATAGCTTAGTGCAAAGGCCCTAGGTTTAATCCCCAGTACAAAAAAATCTTTTCTTTTAGTCCAAAAGTTGGAAATAAAGAAAAAAGATGCCTGCATATATTTTCAATCCTAGTGACTCAATGCTATATTGACCCAGTACACCGAAGAATTAATATCCAGAAGAATTTTCTCCTTTTTTTAAAGACAGGTTTATACTATGTAGTACAGGCTGGCCTTGAGTTTCGTTATATGGGCCAGGCTGACCTCAAATTCAGGAGATCCTCCTGCCTCAGCTTCCTGAGTGCTGAGATCATAGGTGTGCATCACTACGACTGGCTCTAGAATTTTCTACAATAAAGAAAATGTCCTCTCTGCCCTGTACAGTGCAGTGACCACAGCCACACGGGGTTAGTGAGCACTAGGGATGTGATGGAGCTTAATTTTCAGTTTTACTCCCTTTTCATTTACGTAGTTACATGGAGCTGGTAACTATAGGTTTGCAAAGTGCAGCTCCAGAGGAGTGACTGTGGACAGAGGTGGTCTTGCACCCTGGAAGACATGTGGTCATCTAAAGACACTGCAGCTCTCGTAACTGTGGGGTATCACTAGCATCTAATAGGTGGAGGCGGGCACAGGTTACTTTGTGAGCTAGTTAATTCCTTGTCGTGGAGGGCTGTCCTGTACCTTGTAGGATGTTCCACAGTATCCCTGGCCTCTACTCACTAGATGCCAATAGCAAACCCTTGGTTGCAACACCAAAAAATTTCTTCAGCAATTGCCTAATATCCCGAGACAAAACCAACTTTGGTTGGTAATCACTGCCCCAAAAAATATATGACTGAAGGAAAACCTGTATAAACAGTGGAACTTTGCTTTTAGTCACTGGCTCCTCCCACCCCAGTTTTTTTGAGACAAGGTCTCACTATATTCTATGCTGGCTTTGATCTCACCATGTAGCCCACACTGGCCCTAGAACTTGTGGCTGTCCTCTTGCTTCAGCCTCCTGAGTGGTGGGTTCACAGGAGCCACTCCTGGCAAGCTACTTGCTTTTAGTGGACTTTACATATCATTAATTGTGAACTGGCATGATGACACACACGTGTAATCCAGCACTCAGGAGGCTGAAGCAGGAGGATCACCAGTTTAAGGTGGGACCCTGTTGGGGGATGAACCTGTAATAAAATACACAAAGTTAGGTAAATTTACTCCCCCCAAAAATGACCTCTATACAAATGTTCAGACTGAAACTTGTCATTAATAGCAGAATGATCAATAATCAATAGCAAAATGGTAAAATTACACTACTGATATAATCTTTCAATTCATTTTGTGCTAACAATAAAATCTTCAAATAGAGACTTTATATTTTAAAAGTTTACTTATTTTTTGGTTTTTTGGACACAGGATCTTACTGTGATTCAGGGTGGTCTCAGACTCACAGCAATCCTCATGCCTTCAGCCTCCTGAGTGCTGGGATTATAGACTTGTGCCACCACCCACAGGTAAATGATGTTTTAAAGAGAGCTAATTATCTAGTGGTTGTTGCTTGAAATGAGCCAGATCAGCTTGTGTTGTAGGATATTTGCATCTTTGCCCTTGAAATCTATAGCCTGTCTGGCCAGGCTGAAGGGTCTGTAAAGGGAAAAGGGTGGGGGATACTGCAGTGGTGCAGGCCCGTAATCCAAGCATTCTAGGAGGCTGAGGCAGGTGGACTGCAAATTGGAGCTCAGCCTGAGCAATTTAGTGATTTAGCAAGACCCTGCCTCAAAATAAGAAGACAGAGACTGAGGGTATAGCTCAGTGAAAAGACCCTGGATTCAACCCTCGGGATTCTCACCCCAAAACAACAAAAACCAGGTTGGTGACAAGTGACATCTGCTGGTAGGATTTACTCCTAATACAGATGGCCCTAAATTCTAACTCACTCAACCTTAGGAAATTAAAAAATCCTAAGTGATTGTGATCAAACAAGCATTAATTTCTTTTGTTCCACAGTGCAGAGTATTTCAAGGCATCCTGTTTATCTAACAGTTCTTCACCATGCTCATCAATATTGGTATTATTTCTCATTTTAGCCATTTTAATGGATGTATAGCAGCTGGAACTCTGAACATAGTTGATAAGGATGTAAAATAGTACACTTGGTTTAGAAAACAATTTGGCAGTTTCTTATAGAGCTCAATATGGGTCAGCGTATGACCCAGCAATTCCACTTCAAGGTAATCTCCCCAAATATGAGTATATCCACCCAGCCTTGAACAAGACTTCACAGAAGTCAGGGCAGCAGAAGTGCTTGCCCAGCAAATATGAGGCATTGGGTTCGATCAAAAGTACTACAAATATTAAAAAATGAAAAGCTGCAACTGAAAACAACCCAAATGGTTTTCAATAGGTGTGGGGGTAAAGAATCTACCAGCATATATATTAACATGAGCAAATATGTTGAAAAAAATCACTGAAAAATATTATAGTACTGTATGATTACAGTATAATCCATGTATATGGAAGTCTAGAAAAGACTAATCCATAGGAGTAAAAATTAAGATAGCAGTTACTTGGGGCCAGGAGCCAGGAATGGGACCTGCTATCTTTTGAGGTAAACGTTCTAGATTTTGTGGTTAGTTACAAGGCTATCACATTTATTAAAATTTTTTAAGCTAGTTAGAATGGATACATTTTTGTTACATATAAGTTAAAGTTCATTTATGTGTGTGAGTGATGCTGGGGAGTGAACCCAGGACCTTGTGCTGCCTGATCGCTGAGCTACATCCATAGCCCCTGACTCACTGGTAATTATTACTGTTTGGACAGTAAGCTTCCTACTGACAGACAGGGCCCCTCACTATATTCCGGTGCTTACTCAAAGAGCTTGCTCACTTCAAGCCATAGAATCTGCCAACAATCCCATGAGACAAAGGAACTGAGGCACCGAGGTTTTGCAACTCATTGAACAGTCTATGATTTGTAAATCTTACAGACAGGATTTAACCTGCACATACTTGAGGTTGGTTGGTAATAAATGAAATATACTGTTTTACTTAGTTACCTAAGAGCTAGTAAATTGAGGTAATCAACGTTTTGTTGGATAAAACTAGGTAAAGGGAAGACTATAGAAAATATAAGAGCAGAAGACAGATTCCCAACTTGGGCAATAAACTCTATTTCTGCATTTGTAAAACAAACCATTCCATATAGCAAACAGCTACTTATCACCTTCCTGAAAGGAAGTATTTCCTATGCATAGTTTAAAGTCATAAAAGGAGGAGTAGCTAAGCCTTGCTTTCCTTGTCCACAACTTTGGTCCCTCTCCAGGAAGTAAACCAGTTTCTCATTCCCTCCCTAATGCCCACTGGCAAGCTATTGCTCTTTCTTGTTTGTATCATATCCTGGCCTGGTGAGTAGGATTGTCTGTCTCCAAATGTTCTCCATTTTCCTCTATTCAACAAAAGTGCACTAATTTTTATTTCTTTACTTTTTGTCTTTTTGAGACAGCATCTTGCTATGCAGTTCAGGCTGGCCTTGAGCTCACTTTGTGGCGCAGGCTCATTTCTAACAACAGTCCTCCTGCCTCAGCCTCCCAAATGCTGGGATTAATAGTGTCCAAAATTAAATTAATTTTTTAAATTAAAATTTTTTGTTGTGAGATTTACTTATTGAGACAAGATGTTACTATGTTGCACAGGCCAATTTCTAAGTCTTGGACTTACCCAGTCATTTACTGTCTTAGCCTCCCAAACAGCTGGTACTGTGGACAGAAGACCATACTTGGCTGAAATTCTTGATTGGCTCAAGTTACTGTTTAAGTGGACAATGCAAATAATGCTCCCTGTTGAATGAAAAAGTCCATCCATCCTTCATTTTTTTTTGTACAACTCTTCATTTTTCTTGAACAATTGCCTTTTCTCATTATCCATGGTCTCTATATCAGTCATTTTGCCCTAATTGTCCAACGTCTTTATCCATCTCAAATGTACCAATTAGTTTTTTTCCCAAGATTTCCCTCCTGCCTTTCTGCTCTTGTCTGGACTGGCTGCTCTCTTGAGAATGCTGCACGGTGCCCTGGACTTTCATTGGATTTATTTCCTATGACTACACAGAGATGGTAATGTTCATGGTGATGACTGTGTTAGTGAATTGTGGAGCTTGGTGGAAATTACTCAGTTATTTATTTGGGAAGTATTCCATATACAGTAAGTTCACAAAGAGATGTTCTTAGAAAACTGGGAGTGTAGTTGAGTGGCAGAATGCTTCTTGCTTAGTGTGTGAGTCACAGGTTCCATCCCTAGTCCTTTCTTCATCTGAAAATTTTGAAATAGGGTCTGAGTCACTAAGTTGTACAGGTTGGGCTCAAACTTGTGATCCTTCTACTGAGTCTGTCAAGCATAAAAGTCTATATTCTTAGCCATATTTTAATGGCTCCTGAATTAAGTTCAATACACACATGTTGAACACTTTTCCAGAATGTTTTTCCTTGGAGCCCCAAAGGGCTCCAAGTAGTTTGGTACCAGGAAATCTGCTCCAAATGCATGCAAAATTTGCGTATGTACAGAGGCATATTTTTCTAGGGGACAAGGGTCAAAGCTTTTATTAAATATTTAAAGGAATTCAGAGTTCCTAACTCAAGACAAAAAAATAAATCAAGGACCTATAAAAATCCCTCTTTGGCTTTATATGCTTGGAGGAAATTGGCAATCCACGTTTGTAAAGAGCAGCATGAGAATATCTGCACTTTCTGATTAGGAAGCAAATGTTACTAGACTATAACAAGACATTAAAAGTAATTACAGCCTAATAAACGAGGGTATCTACAATTGCTACTTAACATTTGCCCTATTACAGAGTTCCAGAAAATATCTCACTTGGAACAAGCCTGGATCTGATATACAGCATGCTTTAAATTTTTCTCAAAGTTACAGACTTAGAAGGCAAAGAAAAAGTCTAATAACTAGTTATATATAAAGTATTTATTCTTATACACATATTTACCTACAAAATTTACAGAAAATGAAACAAAGCAGAATATAAAGAATACCCTCTTAACACTTCTTAGGAGCAGAGGGTTTTATTGCTGCAGTTCAAAGAATAAAATTTTATACACATGAAAGCCAAATGAACACATTTAAGTTAAATGACAGCCTCGTTAAAAAGTTTTTTTCCTATTATTGAAATTTTAGCTTTATGGTAAATGAAATTTAAAAGACTGCTCAAATAATAATTTAAATCTTTTCAAAGTTGTCTAATGAACAGGTAAAAAGGCACCTCCAGTACTTTAAAATATTTACAGCAATTCCAATAGTTTAATTTTAAGGGCTATTATGGTACATGTGGCTGTTATGCATACACAGTATGTCATTAACACTCTCTGAACAGTGAGAACTGTAGACGCTAGTTTACACTACCATGTTGTCCTGGTGATGGAGGACACTCAGTTTCAACCATGCAGTACTTGTGTTTGTCTACCACAGCATAAAACCCAATTATATAAAACAATGACTATCAAATTCTTGGACAATACATAATTTATAACTAAACTTGTACATTCAGGAGACTTCGGGGTGTTTTTAAAATTCTTAAAAAATATATAAAGTCTATTTAGTGTTAAATGAAAATAAACTGAAAAATAAAACCACAATAGCTGCTCAAGTTCAGTTTCTCGTTTAACAAAAATTGTTTCTCAAAGCATCTATAATTGCTTACAACATAATGGAGATTTTCCTCAGTCTGAGCAGAATCAGATGTTTTTCCTCCAGTACAATTTTAGAAGGAGTTACAAATGAAAGGCACACATAATAGCCGGTTTTAAAAAGCCGTGGGGATGGCAAGCAGATGTTCTTGAAATACTGGTGCAGGAGAACAAACACATAACATTTTCTTCTTTGTTTAACATTGGCATTGATTTGCTATTTACAGTAGTTTGCAAAAATACATTATAAAAACTGAATGAGGTTCTGTTTCTAAGTTTAACTTAGTAACATACATACATACTTCATCTGCAAAAACCTTTGCAAAAGCTGAAGTACTAAAGTGACACTAATACTGAACACAGGTAATCAAAGGTACTGATAACTTGAGTCATCATCATCAAGACCATCTGGGTAAATATTGCACACTTCTTGTCAGTTGTTGCTATAACCTTCATATATCCAACTGCAAAAGGAATCCTTTATGGCTTTTTGCTGTATCACTTATTTGAAGAAAGACTGTTTTAGGTCATATAACAAAGGGCAGATTGTCATTGAACATGAGGTCTAGGTTTCAAAATTAGTTTTCCTGTCTGTAAAAAAGAAAAAAAAATTTTTTTTGGCAACACACAGTTCTATTAAAAAATATCACCACTTATTTACATATTTTAAAGAGCATTTGCAGGGATAGAGAATATTTTTTTTGTACCAGGGATCAAATTCCTGACCTAGTGCTTGCTAGGCAGGCGCTGTGCCACTGAGTTATATCCCCAGTCCAGAATACTTTCTATAATCCAGATTACTTAATGGTTGTGTTTCAAATTTCCTTTATGCAGACTGAATTATTACTTTAAAACATATACATGGGGCTAGGGGTTTAGCTCAGTGGCACAAGTACCTGCCTGGTAAGTGCAAGGTCACAAGTTTCAGCCCCAGTATCAAAACAAAACAAAACACACACACATATGCAAGCAAGGCTGGGATGCAGCTCAGTAGTAGACTTTGTGTTTAACACTAAGCCATTCTTAGTCTCAACATAGCAGCACATGGGTACATGTATTGCAATACAACACTGCATAATACCTGGGTTCAATCACTACTAAAAGCAAAGCATACACGCATGTACACACACACACACACACACACTGACTCACTCTCTATCCACTGGTTACCTAGAAATCACTTAATCATCCACTGGATAAAATTCCAAACTAGATTTATGTTTCTTATAAAACCAAGTTTTTAACACATAAAACTACTTTTTGTTTTATTTTCTCATGATTGAACCTAGGGCCTTTGAACTGAGCTACATTCTCAGCCTTGTTTTATTTTGGGACAAGGTCTCATTAAAGTACTAAGTTGCCCTGGCTACGATTAAATTTGTGATTCTCCTGGCTCAGCCTCCTAGAGTGCTGGAATTACAGATGTGTGACACCACACCCAGCTACACAAAACTTTTTCAGCAAAAATTTGCCTTTCCAATATAAACAAATTTTAATTTGGATAAGTTAAAAAGTAAAGCCTGCTGGGTGTGGTGGTAAACACTTGCAACTCCAGCACTTGGGTGAGGCAAAACTCCCATGACTTCAAGCTCAGCATGGTCTACCATAGTGAGACTCTGTCTCAAAATTTAACAACCAACCAAACAAAAAAACTAGTAAATAAATGACTGGAGAAATGAAGACTTATACACTACTGGTGTTTAATGTATGTTGGTAAAAACACTTGGGTACAGCTAAGCCATTCTTAGTCTCAACATAGCAGCACATGGGTACATGTATTGCAATACAACACTGCGATTATTGAAATATTTAACTTTTGCCAATACGACAGGTAAAATATGGGAACTGACTGTTTTACTTTGGATTTGCCTGACTATAAATAAGGCTGTCTGATCATTCATGTATTTATTTTGGGGGGCTGTTATTTTCTTTTGGTCTTTCTGAGATAGGATCTTGCTATGGAGTTCAGGTTGGCCCTTCAACTCACTTTGTAGCCCAGGTTGGCCTTATGCTTGTAGCAATCCTCCTGTCTCAGCTTCCTGAGTGCTGGGATTATAGGAATTTGCCACTATGCTGGGCTTGTTATTGATTTTTAATAGTTCTTTTACTATCACAGACATTATCCTCTTTTACATATTTTTATACTTCGTTTTTGTTTCTTGAGACAGGGTTTCACTGTCTGGCCTTGAACTCTCTACACAGTACAAGTGGGCCTCCAACTCACAGCAATCCTTTTGCCTCGGTCTCAAAGACTGCCAGGACTACAGGCATGTGGCACCATACCTGGCTTATAAATACTTCCTTCTAACCACTGCAGCTAATCACAGGGTCTCACTGAGTCACTAAATTGCCCCGTCAAACCTTTAATCCTCTTGCCTTGGGCTCCTGGGTAGCTGGGATGACATACATGTACCACCACCTACCAGCTGTGTTCAGTCTTTGTTCTGCTCCAGTTATCTTCCTGCTCTAACATTTTTTTGTGCTAGGGACTGAACTAGGAACTTGTGTATACTGAACAAGTGCTCAAACTTTTAACTGTTTATTCTAATTTTATATAATGAATTACTTATTTCATGAATTTTAAACACTGAAGATTGCCAAGCATGGTGGTGCACACCTGTAATCCTCACACTCAGGAGGCAGAGGCAGAAGGATCACTGTGAGTTTGAGGCCAGCCTGGACTACATAATGAGCCTCTCCCTCAAGGAAAAAAAAAAAAACAAGCAAAACTGAAAAAGTGCTTTTATAATAAAATCAACAAATCAAGATAGTAATAAAAGTCTGAGATACTCTTAAGATACACTGGTATATGATCTATTGTTTAAAACACAGTAGATCATATATGCATAGTCTATATATTAATCTATAACTTTATTTCACAAATGACATAGAATACCAGGAGGTAACAGTTTATAAAACCAACATTTCTTGAGCCTTTTTTGGCCAATTATAATCATCATATTTTATTGAATTTAAGATGACTTCAATTGTATCCTGAGTTTATGTCATTAAGAAAGATTAAGTTGCCAAAAGTGCCAATTTAATTGTTAGATACCATTATTAATGCATCTCAACTGTAGAGGTGTTAAAAAGTAAAAGTATTTCAGAATCAGTGCTTAAAGGATAGTCTATTAATGCTACAAATTTGTTGTTAATAAAATGTCTTCCTTCCTTCCATTTCTTTCTCTCTCTCTTTCTTCCTTTTGTACCAGAAGTCAAACTCACGACTTTATCCTTGCCCAGGCAGGCATTTATGCCACAGAGCTAAATCCCCAGCCCAAAATATCTATTTACCTAAAGCTAAACACCTCAGTTCTTTATGCAGGGCTCTAATTTTTTAATGAAAAAAAAATACTTACATCATCACAAGACATATTGTACTCTGCTAATACTGTTCGACACCGAGCAGCTATACTGAATAAATGTTGTCAAGAAAAATTTCTCATTTTAACAGGAAGCTTCTAACAACCAACCAGATCACTGAGAAGGAGCTTTTGTTAATAGTAAAGGATACATGGATGGTGCAACTACTCTCTTGTGTATTCCAGCGAAGAACAAGCCTATTAGGGTGATACAGCTAATGGTGAAAAATGGATGGTTCCATAATGATGTGAAGAAGGATACCTGTAAAAGAAGAGTTTAAAATATAAAAATGTTAAAATCTTAGAATCGTACTGATTCTTACCTGCCCACTTGTGCATAAATACACATATTACTTTGCAGCCCAGGTTGGTCTTCAACTGGCAACAATCCTGCCTCAGTCTCACAAGTACTGGAATTACAGGTGTGTGCCACCACACCTGGCTATGAGTTTGGTTTTGAAGCTACTGAGATTTTGATGGCCACAGGTATTCAAGAAGGAAAAACAATTAGTATTTCATGAAGAATTAGAATTCACCAGAAATGGTGGCATATTCCAGCAATCCCAGCTACTTTGGAGGCTGAGACATGAATATCACAAGCATGTTCAAGTGTAGGCTTACAAAGGGTTTGGGGGTATAGTTCAGGAGTAGAGTAAATGGTGCCATGCCTGAGACCCAGTATGACCCCTGGCATGAAGAAAAAACAACAAGTCAAGAGAAGAAGAGGCTTACTTCAGATCTGGTCATAATCAGATGACAGAAAACAGGACAATACACAATTCTAAAAGTACACAGAAGACCAAGAGTCCAAGGATGATCTATGACTGGAACAACAGTGGACACTGAAACCAGATGACCGGGCAATAGAAACAGACTAGAGAGAGAAGAGATAAGCATTCAAAGTGGCTAGAAAAAGAAGTCAAGTGGACTAGTAGTGACTGGATGGGAGTGAGAGTCAAGCTAAGCACATCCCAGGCAAACATCAAAGAATTGTGCTGTGTTTTAAGAAAACTAAACACATATACTTGTTTCAAGAGAGAGAAAAACACCAGACAGATGTCTCAGCAAGGTGAAATAAAAGAAAGGGAGGCTGAAAACATCTGGAGGGAAGAAGCCCCCCAAAAGGTAAGACCCCGAAGAAAGGTTATTCCAAAGGGATGTCTTCTTAAATCTCGGAAGACAGTTTAATTCCTGTAAGGAAGTGGTGTGTGTGGTCCACACGGTGTTAGCCGAAACAGTGCTTTATGTTTTCATGTTAATTAGGTCAGACAGTATTAACCCCTTTCCTCCATGACAGTGATAGTCAGCAACTGAACAGCAGCTGTTCCCTTTATGGCACCTGCCATATTCTTTTTCTTCTAAGTTTCTTCCAGCTGGTCATGGGTTCCCCCATGCTTCTCCAGCTAGCCACTGACTTCTGTGCTTACAACTCCTGCTGTGGACACAATTGCTGGATAAAGCTATCGACGGGGTTGGGATTATTAAATACTGAAATAAAAAGAGCCAACCCTAAGGCCAATAGTGATATTCTCACCTAATTTAGAAAATTATATTAACTACATAGTTTTGGTTCTATTTCAAATTACATTTAATTCTGTGTTTTATTAAGATCTCAACTAGCTGAAAGCAGCTTATATTTTTCCCAATTAGAAGTCAGACTCATTTCCCAAGACAGACTTTTTCAATCTTCTTGCCAGTCTCCTTCCACTCTTCCCCCAAAGATGAGTACCAAGCACAGTCCTCAGATAAGGCTTTTATAAATGAGCACACAGGAGAGTTTCCTGTCTGCCATAAAACTCCCTCTATTAACATAAAATTCCATCATCCATCTCCCCAGGTTCCTAGCTTTTTACATCTCCCCTTCCGTGGATAGTTAGGGAGGCCATATGCTAAATAAACCCTTGGCTGTCTGAAGCACCATTCAGACTGATGACAACAGCCTTTCTATCAGGTTTTTCTTCTGCATAATCTAAAAAGTTAAAATAAAACTATGTGAAGTAGTCTACTTGATTATTAGAGGGAGCAATTTTTAAGATTTATGAAAATCATAACATTGTCACTACTGAAAACTACACCAGGGGAACACAGTTCACTAAAAAACTGGAGACTGTGGCTTCTAAAATAACATAAAGTTTGAGTTTGAAATTAAGGCACAAATTAGTAGAACGAGGTAGAAATCTGAGAAATGCTTTATCAGCTTTCATTGAAGAATGCTTCAAGAGATACCATTACGAAGTAGGTTATTGCATTTGGCACAGGATTGTTCTTACACAGAGCCCAAGGGGAGATCTCTTAGTCTTTCCTATATTAAACTCCAGGCAGGAAACTTTTAAGATATAAATGCTGAGAAAAAAAAAGCTTTGCTAGCTCAAGAAACAGACACATACATTCCCACAGACAACAAAAAGCACACAATCAACTGTAACTTTGATGATCAGGTAAACTCAATTCTGCCTGGGTCACATGGCCTATACACTAGTGACCTGGTTGCCTTCCTAGTTTTGTTCTAACCTGTTTTTTACGCAATTATATTTTGCTGCTCTACCGTATGTTTCCTATAAAGTCATCCCAAATGCTTTGTGGATTGAAGAACGTGACTAACACAGATATCTCAGAGAAGAAAATATTATTAAAAGCTGGCACTGACAACACTAAAACAGCAGAACAGAGAGAATGTTCACACTGAAATAAGGCAACAATGAGCAAAGTTTAAACAAATGTAAAAGTGCTACATAAATTGAGAAACAAATTGCAAAATAACCTAAATGGAGTAAATTTCTTAGGCTTTTTCTCCTGCAAAGAAATTTAAATCACAACACTCAGCCAACGCTTTCCTTAAGCAAATTAGCACAGGGCTTACTTTTAATAATGATTAATGTCATTAGTAGTAGTTACAGGCTGCATTTAAATAACACTTTACAATTAACAAAGCATGGATATAACCATTACCTTATTTAATCTACCAAAGGTTTAAAAGAAAATTTCTACCTTTTGTGTCTCAGGATCTATTAACCAGTTCCAGGCACCAGTAGCTGTACAGACAGATACCACTATAAGAAGCACTGATGAAAGATAAATACAAAATTAGTAAGCAAATACACCCTTACTATTTGATACAACAATCACACGCTCCTAATAAATGAGAGCCAATGAATACAGCACTATATTAAATGGAAAATGGGTTGACTAGACTCAAGAAATCAGGAGACTTGGCACATGACTTGGAGAATTCTCTAAACATCCTGAATTAATTTTTGAAGATATAATTGAGGATGCTACTGACTCCCTGATTACTTAGCTAGATGTTATAAAAATGAAGATTACTAAAATCAAAAGCAAGAACCACAATGGTAAAACTTCAGTATAAGATTCTATGGGGGGGGGGAGATTCTATATTTACTTCTTTTTTGCAGTGCTGGGGATTGGAGTCAGGACCTTCACAATGAGCTACATCCCCAGTACTTTTTTTTAAATTTTGAGACAGGCTCCTTCTAAACTGCTTAATTGCTAAGGTTAGGCTTAAATTTGTGATCCTCCTTCCTCAGCTTCCTAGCATGCTGGAATTACAGGCATGTGCCACCATACTCAGTTCTTCAATATAAGATTCTGTCATATAATAACTTTTACTGTGCTTGGTGTTTATTTTTTAGATGACAACTCAAAAAAAGGAACATCTCTGGTGTGAGAAACCAAAAGTATAAGTAAGGACAAAACATGTAACAGCTATTGTGAAATGGGAAGCAAATGTTCAAATGGGGAGAGGAACAAGAGAGGGGAGAGGGGGAAAGAATGGAAAAAACGAGAAAAGGAAAAAAATGGAAACAAAGCTTTTGTACATAGAGTGGGGAAGAGGGGCTGAAGGGAAGGCAGGGGGATGGGGAAAAGAAGAATCAAGTTATACCATGTAGAGGAACAAATTCTCTATGATGAATGTGATCATTATGTATACCTAAAATGTACCAGTAAAATCAGATTAAAAAAAGAAACAACTATAAAACCAACTTCCATTTTCTAATGTAAACAAGCCAAAGAAGAATTATTTTCAAATGCACTGAGATGACTGACTCAAGAGCTTTCCTGGTGACTTGTGTGTGGCTGAATCACACAAAGGTCAGTGTTAGGAATGTGGAGTCAGTGTGGAGCAGACCAATCAGTCTCAGGTCTTCTTTGTAGGACTTAAAGGAAGTCAGGGTCGACATCGTTGCTGATGGAATAGAGAAACACTAGATTCCTCCTTACTGAGCTACAATTTTTTAAAATTCCAAATAATCATACATAAAACAATACACTAACAGTGAAAGAACACTCAAACCTAGCTAATGTTCCAGAGAGGACATTGGCTGTTAGGATGCATTAAGTTTTTCAAATGTGGTGATCAAATTTCAAAAAACTGCAGTTCTTAGAGATGTACTTTATTTTATTTACTTATTTTGGTTTTGTTTTGTTTGTTTTTTGAGACAGGGTCTATTCAGGTTGGCCTTGAATTTGAAGTGATCCTCTGGTTTCAACTTCTAAGCTCTGGGAATATAGGAGTGTGGCACCATGCCTAGCTTAAAAATGTATTTTTACCTTATTTATTTAGTCTTCCTTGAGATAGGGTTTCACCATATAGTTTAGGCTGGCCTTGAACTCATAGTGATCCTCCTGTCTCAGCCTCCCAAGTGCTGAGATTACAGGTGAGTGCCACCATGTTCAGCTGAAGATTTTTAAAAGTTGTATTTTTACTTGCACACACAAAAAAATCTCATTTTAGATATTTAAGAACAAAATTGAAATTATGTTCTCAGAACAAGTTAAACTCAATTTCAATTTCCTGTAATTCCATACTTCCAAATCTATATTGAACAGGCAAAAGAATCTGTATTACACAGGCAGGGTCGTTTCCTTTTTGTTCACCTTTTTTCCAGAGGATCTCACTCTTTTCCTGGCCTGGAACTTCATATGTATCCCAGACTGGTCTCAAATTTTCGATACTCCTGTCTCAGCCTTATAAGGGCTGGGATAACAGGTGTGCACCACATATGGCTACACAGGCAGTTACAAATGAAGAAAAATCAAAACAATACACTAGAAAAAAGCTTATTATACATATACATGCTTTCTACTTAGTAATAAGCTGATGCCATTTACATGGAAGCACTTAGATATATACTGGAAAAAAAAGGAAAGTTTGCAAATCACACTGTATTTAGTAAGACAGTATAACACCATATAAACTTTTAGATTCTCAGATAATAGTGAAACAAAGATTTTGGAGGCAATTCCTAGATAATCCAGAGAATCTGAAAAATTCATTACTTAGGAATC